AGAAGCCATCATAAACGAATAGATATATTCAAATGAATTGACGAACTAAATAAATAACGCATATTTTTAATATACAACATATTGGATTTAGATATGGATTATCTTGTTTGCATCAAAAGAGTTAGACCGTCATTCATATATAAATTATGTGAGATGTGTCCAAATCACCAAATCCACATATTCCTGAAGGTCATTTGAATCCACACATGTTCTGCTAATTTTGTGTTATTTGGATTTATCATAATAATGCGAAACTGTTTATATAAATCATATATAGACATTTTCCGATAAACCGTTGTTAATTTTATCTCAACATCATGACTATCGCTATCAAACATTCTGCTTTAGTCAAAGCTAATACTTTTCAAATAATCAATGCAGATTGTTTGTCTATAACAATAAAAATATACGAAAAGTATTGGTTATGTAAATGATTGTACATCAAATGATGATAGTTGAAGTTGAAATACTTGGAAACTGAAGAGTTATTTTTAATTTAGAACTGGTGGGTCATGTGAGTCAACTTATGTTCACACCTGTTTTGCTTGTAAATTTTTGTATTCTTAAAATTGAAGTACAGTTATGCAAAACGAGTAATTTTAGTTTCTTTTATGATCTAAGTTTTTGTTAATTTTAGATACGTCAATATAACTTTAATACAAATTTAAACAAATTATTTTCTGTGTAATTTTTTGGCAATCTGTTAAAATTGCATTCGAAAAGAATGGAAACGAAAGGTTTATGTCAATAGTTATTGAAATGTGAAACGAATTATATAAAATGTATTTAAAAAAAAACTATTTTGAAATTAAATAATGATAGTTAAAACTACTATTAATAAAGATGTCGTTAGGGCTTTTAGCATTAATTCACTATTATCGGTGATTGTAAATATTTGCTTAGTTGAGATTTATCTTATAGTAGCAGCAAATATTTGCTGATCCTGATGAGGAAGGTTGGTTAATATGATGTAGGAATTGTGCAAACAAATATGAGGTAGTATAATTTAAATGCAATGGTTATTTTGTTTTGTAATTAACATAACTCATTATTGGCTAGTGTGGTGTGCACTTCCGGTGGTCCATTAAATTTGAAGGAATTTCATGTGTACACATGTACGTATGAATGTGGTACAGAGCTCGAGGGGAAAATCTGGCTCTACTATGGGCGGTGTCCTCGTTCTCTCAAGTGTAGGCAAAGAATGCGGTTTTGGTTCATCCAAGTACAAGACTCGATACACCGAGCACGCAAACCTCATATCTCCGTAATTAAAACGGAACGCGTGACTCTCATAAATTAAAAACGTGTCCTTATCGCGTGTTTGCATTAAATTTAGCGACGTGGGTGTTGTTTTGTTTGAGCTCTTCGGTTCTGTTTGCCAGCTGAAATTTGTCCCTCAATTTTCCCCAAAATGATGTAACAGCGGCGGCCACGCGGTAACCTTGATCTTCCGGTTTTACAACAAGCATGCTAACAGTTCGGAATTAATTAGCTCCAAACATTGCCAAATACAATTATGAATACATTATTAATTGGCTTCGCCGCTAATAACAAGCACAGAGTATATTTAACCCACGATCCCACAAAGAACTTGAATAATAAAATTGTTAACGATTTCCGAATGAAATCTGCGAGTAAATGCGCTTTGAATTGCGGTTCACTTAATGTTGTTAGAAGAAACTTTTATAATGGTGGAATGTGGAAGTTGTAGAAAATTGCATGAGAAGTTTGCTCTGCAAATGCGCACCAAGTCGAGAACAATTTTCTCACGTACCCGCACAGTTTGCAAAATGAATACACAACCTCTTAACAACAATATTCTACGTTAATCGTGCTAAAATTACATTTTTTTATTGACCCTCAATGGCACAAACAGATCAAGTTAAGTGCGAAAAAACACTTTTTTTTAATTCCTTCCATTTGAGCCTTCTTCTACTTGAATGAAATGCACAGTTTCGAAAGCTTTTACGAAAAGATGCTTGTTTTCCATTTTCTCTCTCCGATCATATTTTATTTTTTTGGGATTGGTTATTCTTTATATTTAGCACGTCAGCTAAAACGTGCATAAATCTTGAGTTATTTTAAAATGAGCGACTGCTTTGCATGTTTATTTTCGTGGACCGTTTTAATATAAATTCATAATTTCGTATGCGCATCAAGAGAGAAAACGTGGATTTCTGGTTTGGGATTCGTCGAAACTTTTTATGGCCCAAATACCATTGTGCATCAAACTTCCGTTCGCATATTTCGTACGCATGCACACGCACACTTAACTAAACTAGTTAACAGTTATTCAGCACGGATTGTGACTCGGAAACTGCTCCCACTTATTTACAATTATGCAAATATAATATTCATTAATCCAAGGCATCGCTCTAATTGACATTCGTAATTAGCACTTTTTCGATGGCAATTTATATACTTATTACTACCAAACAATTATACCTTGTTACATTTCTTACTACAAGTCAAAAATTGTTTAAATATATTCTAGTTAGAGACATAAATCGCGTTGCCCAAAAATATTTACACAAACGGTAGAGTTCAAAATAATTATGTTTACCCATAATCTATAACTCCATTGCCCTTTAAACTAATATTAGCTACTAATATTTTTGTATATGTTTCACTATACGAGTATTTATAAATTCTGTTGATTATTTCTATTTAGATTTGGCAATTTTGAAATTCTACACCATCCACTATGTCTACGTCCCTTGACTCCTCTTGCGCCATTGGTGGTCAGCTATATCGATTATGTTGTACTATGCCCCATGTTAGGACATGTGTGGTCGACAACTACAAATTAGAATCCGAGGTTATATGAACAACAACATCTATATACATTTTGAACAATTTTGAGAATATAAATAAATCTGACGAATGTTTCACGAGTGTTTCCCATTGAAACATTAGTATTTTATAAATAAACTCTAGACATAAACTATTTCTTATGTAAATTATACACCATTAAGATTTCGTATTCAATAATACTCAATAATTTTCAATCAGTGTGCCATGAGAAAAGCTAAAAATTTTAAAAGTTAATAAATTCAATTAATTTCCAAAGCTTAATAATTAATGCCGCGGAAGTTTAACTATAGATTTAAGTGTATCTTGAAAAAATATTGAAAACTCTAATAGAAATTTATCAAAAAAATATGAGGCAAATTCGTTAACTTTTGTAAACTATGAAAAGTCAATTCTTTAAAATCTCGTCGTTATTATTTTAATTACCAAAATGTTGAAAGACATGAGAAAATAAACGAAGTTTGCTATTTCTGAATGTGGTATATTGTAAATATTTAAAATATTTTTAATTGAATTTTGCGTCAAGCAATTTCGAATGTGTTAGCTTTCTGAGAAAAAAACCCATATTAACCGAGATAACAGAGTGTTACAAATTCACCTAATTTAGAAATAATACTTTTATCACATTTTTTTTTTCCGACAGACGACAAGATAAGCGAATCGTAAAGATTGCGTAGATTCAACTGAAAAAACGTATATTATAACGTTAAATTGATTATTAAAGACATTATTGTAAATATTGTATCCGTTAGAATAATATTTATGTATTCGGAACGGTATGCTGCTCGACCCATTTGGAGTTATGAAACATTTAATTTCTCGTTGAAATAAATATTGCAGAATATATGTACAACAGCAATAAATGAATAGTGCCTAATTGTATTATACTTGTGCAATCAACAAAGGTTTTCAAAGAAATAAATAATTTAAAGCGCTGTAACAATGATGAATGGGAAACGGATTTGTTGTTCAATTTCGGCAATGTCATTCATTGATTGACATAATTGAGTAAAACAAATATTAATGATTATTTAACAATTTTCATACGTTAGCAATTTGTATTTTCTGAGCATTTAGCGCAATAGTATAACAATAACGTATTGCGGAATTAATTAAATTTGTTGAAATATGTTTTCTTCGCTGAAGAGACGTTTAGCGCCTCACGCTGTGGTTGTAATCAAATCTGCGATTATGCAACGAACATCGGGAGGACTGAAAAGGCCTGCCAGCTTAGGCACACTGTGCTATTTATTTACATTCACCCAAGTTCCATTTCATTCCGATCGTCTCCCGCAAAGCATTGTCGATGGAAATATTAATTAACGATAACATTGAGCGAACATTGCGATTACTGATCGTTACGACATTCTATTGCACTTTCAGAATTCCCGGCCTCTTCGTGGGTACTCTTTAACTCTTCGAAACAAATTAATAATGGATTTCATGCATGGATTTTGTTATGTTTCCAATCCAATAATCGATAATGTTATTTGTCTATTCGTTTCTTCAACTAATTATTAGCATAAAAATTAATTTGAATCTGTGGAATTCAATTTTGTGAAATGAAAAAAAGCGAGCAGCGTCATCTTTAATGTATTTGTAAGGAATCTGCTCCAGTTTGCGGTGATTCGCAAGTGGTTATACACCTGGTAATTCACAAAAGAACGATTTCGATTGTGGAAACCTTCACCTCGAAATACGTTCAATCGATAGCGTTTAATTATAAAAGCTTTTGGTTTTCCGCTCGGTCGGACGACCTTTAACTATTCATGTTAAATTAAGTAGCTTAATCTGGAACTCCGCTTTGTACGTTCCAGCTGCAGTGTAACAACATTTTTTGGTAGAATCTGAAAAATATTTAAGAGGGCATGGAACCGAGAGAGTGAGAGGAAGATCAAGTACGTGCAGAAGACTAAGACTCTCGGTCCTGGTTTTACATAGCCAGCACGCGAATAACCACTCACTGCACGTACGGTACTGTGTTCAAATATTTTAAGAACGCCAACAAGCAGTTAAATTCACACGCGTCGATTTCGTTGCAGATCGCGTATTTAAATAGCCTTGCCTGGTAAATAATTAGGATTGTCTTGTTAATGTTGGATGATCAACAAATATGGAATGAATGAATAAATACGGATTATATTTGTGTTTGTCTTGACGCTAAATGAATTTGCAAATTCTCTTTCCAGGTTGCCGAGCAGTTCAGATGTCACACCACAGCGATGATAACATGCTCGTGCCGACGAGTGACTCGTTCTGGGAGCCGGGGAACTATAAAAAGACTACGAAACGCATCGAGGATGGTTACAAGCTGTGCTCGGACCTTATAACCTTAGTGACCGAGCGTGCGGAAATCGAGAAGAACTACGCGAAAAATCTGAAAGCGTGGTCGAAGAAGTGGAACGACTTGATCGAAAAAGGTCCCGAGTATGGAACGACCGAAGCAGCGTGGAAGGGCGTGCTTGTCGAAGCCGACCGACGGTTCGACGTCCACTCCAAAGTCAGAGACAATTTGACCAATGAAGTTATTGTTAAAATCAAACAATGGCAAAAGGATACTTATCATAAGGTAAATAATCCGCATTCCTGATTTTCGTTTTTCTTTTCTTCCTTCGTTAGATTCCTTAGGTGGCGCCGAATATGTCGTGCACGGAATATAATCACCTCTAAACGGTAAAACGATATTCCGTCCTGACCACAGCGCCAGTCGTTGTCTCTTCACAATTGCGTAATATATATATATGGAATATACGAGAGTGATAGAGAGGGGAAAAAAGAGTTACATCTACTTTTCCTGATTCCTGGCGTGAAAGTAAAAGTTGTCCATTAGAATGCACCGTACATGTCTTTTGTATTTCAATTGTCTATTTATGAAACGCGGCACGCAATTTAAACACCATTTAGCGCGATAAACTCACAAAAAATTTCACTATTTCCACATACATACATCATTTACGTAAGCGTGCGCCGCACCAATTCTGATCCTCGAGGTGCATCTGTGAATTTAAATATTCTATTGTCTGGAAAGCATAGCCAAAAAAGAATAATGTGACTATCGCATAGAATGCATATAGTCGCTTCCGCTCTTTTATATCATCGATCCGTGCTTTATCTTCCCGTCTCCAGACTCATTCACAACGACTGCTGTTGTATACCATGAGATTAGGTCAGCAAAATTTGCCACCGACATTCTCCCCCTAAATTCAATCAATACCTAACGTCGTTTAATTTTTCCCATATAAATAAAAATTATCATTTTTACCTTAAAGACTATTTATCTGAAATTTTCTACATTCATAATATTATAACTTTGATCCCCGTCTCACAATTTGCTGTTACGTAATTATTTTTACGACTTCCCACTCAGTTTACATAAGAATTATTTATATAATGGTTTATCAAGAGAGCAATTACTATATCAGATTACGGTATCAGTAAAGTAGGTTGTCACAATTTCGCCGCTTAATGATCTAGAAATTCTTACATGAATCGAAACATTTTTTAAATTAATTTATTCAAAATGAATTAAACAATTTTCAATCTTCCTTTCAATCTTTTTTATTTATTTTTGAACTTTGATGTTGAATTTAGTATTGAGAACGAGTATAATTTATGAGTATATATTTTTTTCTTTTAGAGCATGATGAATATAAAAGAACGTAAGGATATGGAAGATGCATTTAAGAAGGCTCAAAAACCGTGGTCGAAACTGCTACAGAAAGTGGACAAGGCGAGAAGTGACTACCATACGGCGTGCAAGACTGAAAAATCCGCCTCCAATCAGGAGAGGAACGCCTCTGGGGATAGTTCGATTTCACCGGATCAGGTAAATTAAGCAAAATTGATATAAATTGAAAAATGTAACTTATAATGATTCTCTTCATTATTCTGGTGACACGCAGAAAGCAACTGTGGTAAGATAATCCTGTTTTAAGCTTACTCCCAGCTTCTGAATTTGCCTGGATTTCTGTTATATATTCTTATTAGCATTACCCACTTTAAACCGCCTGCGTTCTTTGTTTTATTGTTTTTTTGATTTCTACGCTTAACATTAACACATTCTTAGAATTCCTTTTATATTTGATGCTGTTTTAGATTAAGAAAATGCAAGACAGGACTCAAAAGACTAAAGAAGAGACATTGAAGAGCAAAGAGAAATACGAACTGGCATTAGGAGAAATAAATAATTACAATCCCAAATACGTGGAGGACATGAAGGTAGTTTTTGAAAAATGTCAAGATATGGAAGGACTGCGACTGGAATTCATCAAAGAATCACTCTTTGACATTCACAAGTGTTTGAATATATATCAGGACCCCATGTAAGTCTCATCAATAAACGAACTTGCGTATTGATTAATCACATCTACTGTTCAGGTTGCCACAGATTTACGAAGAACTTTTCCATACGATAAACAATGCTGATAATAAGAAGGATTTGAAGTGGTGGTCAAATAACTATGGTGTAAATATGGCTATGAACTGGCCGCAGTTCGAGGTACGCTTTAATACATCATAATTGCATGTTTTTAATTTTCTTTTATTTTTCTCTCTCGATTTACCGTTTTTTTTTTTGTTTGTTTTTGCATGTTATGATTTATTTAGGATTACACAGAAGAATTCCGAGATATTTCGAAAGGTAAATCCAAGGAATCTGCTCCTTCAGGAATTATGCTCATCAACCAGAGACCCGTTGGCGAGGATTTGCATGTACGCTTTCGTTTATTTATTTAAATTTTCTTGGGTGATGAATGATTTTCATTATTACTGAAATATTATTATTAAATTGTCGGAAGTAATTGTATTGACTGTTGAAATGATTTTATAGGAATATTCTACAATGAATAAATCGATAAAGAATAAACAAATCACAACGAAAGCAAACAGCAACGATAGCAATAATCAGGAGAAGAACGAAACACCTAAGCATGTCGCAAAAGTGGAAAGTCCCACCAACAGAGCATCCACAATCACGTAACTGTTATATAAATTTTTTTTGTTGTAACAAGATCTAAATGTGTTTGCTTTACAGGAACGGCTCCGCCAGTAAAGGAGAAGTAAATCCCTTTGAAGAAGAAGAATGGGATGAAAGCGACGCATTAGTAGACAATGGAGAGCCCGGAGTTCCTGTTAAAGCTTTGTACGACTACGAAGGTGCAGAAAACGACGAACTGAGTTTTAAACAAGGTAATTAAGAACGAAATCGTATTAGCATTTTTGTGTATATACGTTTTCTCTTGTAGGGGACGTCTTCGAGAAGCTGGAAGATGAGGACGAACAAGGTTGGTGTAAAGGGAGAAAAGATGGAAGGGTTGGCTTATATCCCGCAAACTACGTGGAACCAGTTTCACATTGAAGGGTTCCTCGACCATTATATTTTTGACCTTTTGTTGTTATCAGAAAATATGAATGTATTTATATATGGAGCGCATTTGCTCATTCATTTATGCAGAGCTCTAATGTGAAAAAAAGAAAACAAAGCTTACAACTTTTCTACCCAAAACTAAAATAGAAATAAATCAACTTAGCTGTAACAAATTGAAAGACGCTTTAAGTGTGACATACATTAAAATACTTACTGTGATTTTTTCTGTGTCAAATTTTGTAATATTCGAGATTAGTTTCCATTTATTTTTTTTTGCATTTTCACGTTGGCTCTGGTTAATATGTTTTAAGTATTATAAAATAATGATTGTATGAAAGTTGAATGTTTTGTAGTTCTGTACAAATACTGTTAGTGTCGATTTAAGTAGTTTATTTATATATTGAAACGTTAATGATGATTACGATTAATACTTTTTTTTTTTCTTCAAATGCGGATATTATACGGAAAGGAAATAATAAGATTGAATGGACTTGGTTGGTTGTTATTATTTTTTTAATAGGCACTTAGTATATTTGTTAATTTTTGTGATTAGGCCTACAACATATATAAGATGAAATGCATTCTTGTAATAACTATACAATGTATATATATATAATTATAAATTGTAATGATACATATATATATATTTAAAAAAAAAAAGAAGAGAATCAGGACACTTCCAAAATGGTATACAAAAGTAAAGCAGAACTTGTTTAGTTTCATCAGAATTAGGTTCATTGTAAAGTTTATAATTTAAATAAGTATTTATGAGACTAATGTTTCTGTATATAATACAATAAAACAAATAACAGTAACATGAATTATGTGCAGCTTTTAAATTGAGTTGATTGTTAGGAGTTCATTTACTAATAGGATATTTATTACTTTTTATTTACCATTTTCTGCATTTATAAACAAAAATGGTACAAAATTCATGTCAAAATTAAATTGTCTTTATTTTGTAAATATAAATAATATAAGTAAAAAATGAAGGTTGCTATTATCTTTAAAACTATTGCAAGAATTATTTAGTATCTGTATTTCGTTGAATAATCTTTTGGTGAGACAACAAGACCCCTTCCTTTTCTAGCACCCCTGTACACAGTCTCAATAATATCGATCATCTCCTGTTTATCTTCCAATGGCCAATTGATTTTGTTGTTATTACCTGTACCCAAATCAATCATAATATGTTTGTTTCTGAAGAAGAACATGACTGTGCATGGATCGTATAATTCGTACCTACAAATAAACCAGAATATTTATTGATATAATTATTATGATCTTAACGTATAATTGAATTACTTACATTTTATTGAAATCGGGAACTTCTGTTATGTCCACTAAATAGATAACTGCAAAGTTTTTTACTTTTTCAGCTATACTGTAAACCACTTCGTCCATTTTCATGCAAGATGGGTCCCAATCGTGTCCAAAACGTATCACCTAAGATATATATATATATACACATTGCAGAAAACACCTGACATTTGTATTATTTAAATACGTACCACAACCCTGTCTTCTTCTGAAAGAATTGCCTGATCCACTTGCCATCCATTGTGTAAATGTGCTAACATATAAGACATCTTGGATGTGTATTATTTACTTCTCTGCACCAAACGAAATAAATTGCTTTGCAACAATTGTAATTCTAGTATAACCTTAAAACTTAGTATGCCTATATCACAATATTTACTTCTTTTCACTAATGCAGAATTCTACTTTACCTTCCTGTAGCTCCCTCTAAGATTTAGACATTCCAAAATAGGAACTTTACATATTCTGATGCTTTTTTTTAATAAAATAAAGTTTTATTTTGTTTCAATTCAATAAATTTCATTGTTTTAAATTTATTTAATTTATTGATCCAAGAATCATTTTTTTCCATAAAATTTCAAATAATTCCTCTACCTATAGTCAGGGACGGACCGTTAATTTTGGGGTCTCTGACAGTGCCGTATTAAGCCCTCTGCCCTAATTAGGGTGCAATCCATAAAATCTATGCCTAGATCTACCACTGTTACTAGGATCCTCTGTATTGCATAATATATCTGTATATACAATAATAATATACAAACCATAAAATAAAAGATCAAATTGCATTTTGTCAAAAAAAAAACGATATATCATAATTTGATATTTGATGAAATGGAGAAGAAAATAGGTTTGGAGAAAGATAAAGAGAAAAATAATGAAAAGCGAGGATATTACACTGAATTGGCCACGGATGAAAACTTCCAAGCCAGGAAGACAAATATAACAACTAAGAAAAAGCCAAATTTTATTTGGGAAATTGTAACGGATAAGAACGCACCCACTATACCAGATCTGAAAGCTGCGAAGAGAGCAAGATATTTAGCGCCGGCTGAACGATGGATGTGCTACGACGAAGAAAAAACAATTGTGAATATAATTAGATAAACGTATTAAAAACTTGTTAGCATTTTGATTGCAGTCTTTCCCGGTGGATGTTTTCAAACCAAAAGTTCAGTTGCAACATTTCGTTGATCCATTTAAAATACCCAGAAATGTTCAAATTGAAAGGAAAATGCGACAATATCAGGTAATTCCTCATAATTTCTCATATATCTAAATAATAAATATCACATCAAACAGAGGCAAGATATAAGATTATGTCTTAAAGAATTGAACATAAAGCATGCGGATATTTTACCAGTTGATGTGATAAAGAAGTATTGGGACGGTGTTCATTTTGGGCTTTTCAAAATGATACATTGGTTACCATTGGAATGGTTCGATGACGAAGATTTTTGTAGCAGGTAATTAGCGTTCTATTATTTTTGTTCGTTTAAACTTTAATATTTAGTGGATCAGATCTCCCGAAGGATGGTTGGATCATGGTATAATGGATGGCGTGCGCCATCCAATACCTGCCCAAGCTTTCCTTCCAAAGGCTGTAATAAAACCGACCAAGGGTGATCGCATGGAAAAACTGTTCGAATGGACCAACGTCGCTGTATTGGATTTCAACAAAGATATGAAAAAATATAAGTTATTAACGTTGGACGGATTGAAACGAGAGTTTTATCTGGCCGAGATTTATATTTTATTTAAAGCCGAGGAACCTATGAAGTGCGCCAAAAGAATTCAATCGGCATTGGAAATGAGAAACGCGGCAGAAATTCGTATTAGGTATTTCATTAAAAAACAATATAATTGAAATAATATCTTATATTATTATATATTACCAGATATGAATTTATTATGGATTGTATGGAGGTGACGGGAACTTACGAGATTCCAGAAGAGTGGGTTGAGAAGTTTATAAGTTTAGCATTTTGCGGAAAAGTTAATAAAATAGTGGACGCCAGCGTTGTAGAGGCAGTAAGTTAAAAGCATATATTTAAATCGTTTATTTAATCATGATTTTAAGCTCAAGGATGAGATTCAATTAAATCATAAAAGATCGCTTGGTGAAATGCAATTTAGACAAAGCGTTCTAGCGTATCCAGATATGTATAAATTCATTAAACTGCCACAACAGGAGACTGAGATTGTAAAAGAACACGGTATATTTTCTTCCATTAGTTTTATTTTTAAATAATCTTGAAATAACAACTTCAGGTCGAGTCGATATCGATTTGAACAACTACAAAGCAAAAGCTGAATACTTTCGATGGTATAGTATATTTGTAATGCCCCAATCATTGATGGCGATATCTCAGGTAGTTCTGGAATGTTTGAAAGTGAAACAGATGAATTTATTTACAACTAACTATGGGAAAATAGTGACCTTAGAAGAATTCGAAACTGCGCAAAATAAATTTACTAGTCACGTGAGATTACGATGATGAAGATTGTAATTATAATTCTTTAATAAATTATACTTTTAGTGCATGAAATATTTAAAGTACACATGGATAGATGCAACTTGTTTTAATTTACGTTGGTGTTTGGGAGAGGTTGGAAAAGGTTGGTTCGATATTAACGAACGTACACATAATGTGTACGATATTGCTAAATTGACGCGCCTTTTCGAATGCGTTAAATATAGGATGCAGGTGAATGAACAAGTAAAATATTGCAGGTATCATTTAAAACAATGTAATTTCAGTACGCCCTGCGGATTTTGGTCGAACATTCCGTTGCACTTTTTACAAACTTAATTGAAGTTCCATGCCAGTCATCGCTGGACGTTCCGGATGATTACGTTTGGGATAGTAATTTCATTGATAGTCCCTTTCCATCGAAAACCACACCAATTTTCTACATGCAATTAAAAATATCCGAAGCCGCCGTATATTTTTCAACAGATTTAGCTGCATTCGCGGTAAAAACGACCAATTTTCCTATCCTATTTTCGTAACGAATATCAAAATTAATTTGTTAGAAAACTTTGCTGAGGATGTACGATAGCGCTATTATAGGAACGCACAGTATAAAACAAGTGCATCCTATGCTTCTGGTGAAATTGAAATTCCCTAATGATCTGTACCTTTCATCTGTTGGTCTATTGGACTCGTACGTTTGTGAAATGAGAGAAAGATTCTTGCTCGGCTATAATAAGGCAGTGATACCAGTACAAGCTTATGCGAAGACATATGAAATTTTTATGGAATTTTATAACATGAACATGAACGCTTACCTACTGTAAAACTATTTTCCATATCTATAGTAAGATTAAAGTATTTATTTGTATTCAATCCTCAGAAACTTTAAAGAGGAACAACACACCGCTGGAGAGGTTAAAGATGAAGTGAGTAATCATCTTAAAATGAGGGATCATCTCGAAGAGATTTTACCTTCGCTGATTGTCATCGGCCCGTTCTCAATATCTGTTGACAATATAAGACAGAATCTTATTCAGAAAAGAATGGATCTTGCGAAGAAATTATTGGATCAATTTGCTGACAAAATGAAAAACTTATTTATCGACGTAAGAAGATTTAATTATCCTATTAATTTTTTTTTTTAAATAATTATTCTTCAGATAATTCACGAGTTTGAAGATCTATTGCGCAAATTGCAAGAGAAACCGCATTCAATTGAACATATTTATGATATCAAAGATTGGATGGAAACTATACCGATGACTGTTAGAGCTTTAGAAGATTCAACCAAGAGATATTTACTAGTATTAATTTTTTTTTTAATTAGTAAATTATTTTTACGCTTAATTCATTTGATTCAAGGAATATGATATACTGGATTTCTTTTGGTATAATTTACCTCAAGAAGATTTCGAAGCCAAATGGGAAACCGTCGGTTGGCCTTTACGAATTTCGAAGCAGATCGATGATACGAACGACTTCCTAATAGAGGAGACGGATAAGTTTTATAAGATACAACAGAATGATGAACAATCATTAATAGAAAAGATTGAAGCACTTACAGTTCAAATAACGACTATGTATTCACTCAGAGATGCAAGTAAAGTAAGTAACAAACATATTCATTTGATTAGTATTATTTGTTTAGTTGTATCATAATTACTTGATTTGTAGTGTCATGAAATAGCAATTGACATGAAACGTGCATGGAAAGCAATGAAAGAGGCTCAAGAATATGGACAACTTTTAAATTCTCGACAGAAATTGTTCTTAGTAACCGTCGTTCCTTTCGATACTCTAACAAAACTGATAAAAGAATTCGAGCCCTACAAAAATCTTTGGGTTACTGCTTCCGGTAAATGATTTACAATCTTTGAAATTCGCCAGCTAATTTTATTTTGTAGATTGGCTCAAGTATTATGATATTTGGATGGACAATCCTTTGGCTAATATTGATGGAGAAGCCATCGAGAGGCTCGTGACGGATATGTACAAGACAATGGTTAAATCGATTAGAGTTTTTGCAGATATCCCTGGAGTTCAGCAGGTTGCAGCTGACATTCGTGATAAAATTGACGATTTCAAACCGCTGATCCCATTGATACAAGGCATCAGGAATCCGGGAATGAAGCAGCGCCATTGGGATGCATTCGCTGAAGAAACTGGTCAATATAAAGTTTTGATTTTTCACTTGGTATTTGATGTTCTTAAATACTTGCAGGTATTGTTATACCGTGGACTGCGAACACAACCTTTCAGGATTGCTTGGATATAGACGTTGATAAACATATTGATGTGGTTATTAAGATTTCCGATAACGCAGGTAAAGAATATGCTATAGAATTGACTTTAGATAAGATGGTGGCAGAATGGGAAGTTAATATGTTGGAATTGACGCCGTTTAAAACATCTGGTAATCTATATATGAAATTATAGCTAAATGTATTAATTGTAAGTGCGTTTATAGGTACATACATAATGAAAGTCTCTGATGATATCCAGCAAATGCTTGATGACCATATAGTGTTAACTCAACAGTTATCATTTAGTCCTTTCAAAGCAGCTCTAACAGAAAGGATTGATCTATGGGAAAATATGCTTAAAATCACATATGATGTCATTGAAGAGTGGATGGATGTTCAAAAGTATTAATACGTCGCAATAAGTATATTTAAATTACAATTATTTATGAACGTAGACAATGGATGTACCTTGAGCCCATTTTCACCAGCGCTGATATTAGCAAACAGTTGCCAGTTGAAAGTAAGAAGTACAATTCAATGGAAAGAACCTGGAGGAGAATTATGAGAAGCGCTTATGAAAGTCCAAAAGTCTGTATTAATTTGTACTGGAAATTTGGTTATTTATGTATTTAATTAGATTATAGATTATTGTTCGGACAAAAAATTATTAGAGAGCCTTCGCGATGCTAATCACATTTTGGAAGTAGTTCAGAAAGGTTTAGCAGATTATTTGGAAGTCAAGCGCATGACATTCCCGCGTTTGTTCTTCCTTAGTGACGATGAACTGCTTGAAATTCTATCTCAAGCTAGAAATCCACTTGCGGTGCAGCCGCATCTGCGAAAGTGCTTCGAAAACGTTGCCAGGGTATACATTTATGTGAAATACAATGATCTCTCTATTTCAACTATCTATTTACTATTTTAGCTTAACTTTGAGAAGGATCTAAAGATTACGCAGATGTTTTCTGCTGAAGATGAGTGCGTGGATCTAAATCCCACCCTCTATCCGACATCCAACGTCGAAGATTGGCTCTTGGTCGTTGAGGGCAGTATGAAAAATACTGGTAAGATTTAGTTTGGTAGTATTAAATTTACATTTAACTAAATCTTAAATTAGTGAGATCGATATTTGGTGATTCTCTGAAAGACATGCCAATTAAACCGAGAGATCAATGGGTGCTAGAATGGCCCGGGCAAATTGTAATAGCTGGTTGTCAGACGTTCTGGACTTCGGGCGTTGAAAATGGAATCAGCACAAATCGTATGCCCGAATTTTTTGATGAACTTTTACGTAATGTGAGTTTTCATCAATTTAAAAAGGAAAGGCAAAAACTAGAGTTTTAATATTGGTTTGCAGTTGGATTTATTGCGTGGTTTGGTGAAAGGTTCATTGACTTTCCTGCAACGAGAAGTACTATCTGCATTGATTGTAATAGAAGTCCACGCGAGAGATGTGACGCAACTACTCGTTGACGGAAAAATATCGAACGTCAACGACTTTGATTGGATAAGTCAACTTAGGTATTATTGGGTCAACGATGAACATTTAAAAGTTAGAGCTGTCAATGCTGAGTTTCAATATGGTTACGAGTATTTGGGTAACAGCGGTCGATTGGTTATTACCCCATTGACAGATAGATGTTACCTTACCTTGACTGGTGCGTTACATCTCAAGTTTGGTGGCGCGCCTGCTGGTCCGGCGGGCACTGGGAAAACTGAAACAACGAAAGATCTTGGAAAAGCTTTTGCAATCCAATGTGTCGTTTTCAATTGCTCAGATCAACTAGATTTTATGGCTATGGGAAAATTCTTTAAAGGCTTAGCTAGGTAAATATACACATATGTATTTAAAAAAAAAAGTTGTAATATTGTACTAACGTTTTTTTGTATTAGTTCTGGCGCTTGGGCATGTTTTGATGAATTCAATCGCATCGACATCGAAGTTCTATCCGTAGTTGCGCAACAAATAATGACTATTCAGAAAGCACAGCAATCCCGACAAGATAGGTATGCTTGCTATTTAAATCGCATATTTTAGATTACTATATTCGTATCTTATTTAGATTCATGTTCGAGGGTTGCGATATTGCTCTGAAGGAATCTTGTGCCGTATTTATAACGATGAATCCTGGTTACGCAGGTCGCACTGAGTTACCTGACAATCTCAAAGCTCTTTTCCGGCCAGTTGCGATGATGGTTCCCAATTATTCGTTGATAGCAGAAATCTCGCTCTTTTCATTTGGTTTCGGCAATGCGAAGCAATTGGCTAATAAAATAACGACGACGTTTAAGCTTAGTTCAGAGCAGCTGAGTAGTCAAGATCACTACGATTTTGGAATGAGAGCTGTGAAAACTGTAATAGCTGTTGCTGGTAATCTGAAGCGCGAAAAGCCGCTTATGGACGAAAGGCAAATCGTTCTCAGGTCTCTGCGTGATGTCAATGTGCCAAAATTCTTAAAAGACGACTTGAAATTATTTAATGGTAAATTGTAAACATTGGATAGATGGATAGATTACATTTTGTTGTTTAGGTATAGTTTCGGATTTGTTCCCGAGGATGGTTGAAGAAGAAGTTGATTACGGAGTACTCGAAGAATCCATTCGTATTTGCTCTATTAATCTAGGATTAGAGGATGTAGATGGTAATTTTATCTTACACACATTTATATTTGTTAATTTATATGGATTATTTATTACAGAATACGTAAGGAAAGTAATACAACTTTATGAGACAACTGTTGTGCGCCATGGTCTTATGCTCGTAGGTCCAACAGGATCTGGTAAAACTAAGGTATGTCATATTTTGAACACTATTGTGATTCGAATTAGTTTCGAATAATTTGAGTTATAACAAAATCAACAAAATTACATAATAAGTCTTTCTGCCCGGGAAATAATTTAATCATAGAAAAGATCATTGTTCTCAATTAACTAAAAAGTATTTTTAATTATTTTTACTTACAATATTACAAATTTATACGATAATCATAAAATATAATTATTTACTCTCTAAAATTAAGTTGCATAAGGAATAATTATTGATTTAATAATATTAGTTGACACATGCATTTAGGTGGCGTTGGAAGGAAAAGGGACTGGCAACTAAACAAAAAGTATTTCAGAGTCAATAAGCATTGTATTTCCTGACAAAGCGGTCATAAATAAAGGGGAAATGTAGGTGCGGCTTTGATACTCAGTGTACATTTTCTTATGAGGAAATTTCTGCCAGGTTGAGGAAAATTTTCACAGAATTAGGCCAAACACACTTTACACTTAAAGTACACAAATTTATTCACATTTACATTTATTACAATTTTGTGCAGCAAATAACAGAAGAATTCACTTGCATAGTAAATATTTGTGGCAAAACAATTTCGTGGATCTCCACTTATTTAAAAAATACGTGATCATCGTCTTACGAAATGTCGTACCGTATAATGTGTACAGGATGAAATTTATCCCGTGGTGCAGATAGAACAAAATCATGCCAATCCTTTGGTAACAGTAAAATTGAATTACCAACGAGTTATCGAAATCCTTTTCGATTGCTAATACGTATACTCTTAAGATATAACTGAAATCAATAATTATAATTTAAATTATGAATTAACTACGATTAATTGCTTATTAATATCACAATATTAATTAATTTATACTTTTTTTATCGTATTTTTCTAGAATATGTTTGTATGTTTGAAGTTGTAGATTTTTAATATAAATCCAAATTATATCGAAGATGATATTGGATATACATTCTAATATAAAGAAGATATTTCTTATGAGGAAAAAGATCAAAGAATTTTATAAAGTCAGTAAATTAAACCATATATCTAGTGCATGGTTTGAATATTTCGTAATATTTCAAGCTGTTTTAACAAGAATAATAATATTTATTGCAAGAAGCCATTGATTTCTGTTTTCATAATTAGTTAGACCAATTATTTTATAAATTGAGTCTAAGAGAGCAAAGGTTGCAGCATTAATTAGTATAAATCAAAATCAATGAAAACGTATACAATTTTATCAGATGCAAAAGCTATATTTGATTGCTTTTTACCTTGGTGAGTTCAGAATTATAAACGCAGTGGAAATCATCAATAACATATTTGTAATGTTCCTTTGGCATTGGAGCATCACATCTTTTATGTTGTAGCGAACTAAAATATAAGAACAATTGGTTACATATTTAACATATGCGGTTTCTGCACTATTTTGTTTACTTACCGCTTATTCTGCAACTATTGGCTGAACATTCGGTGGACGTGCCGGGTTTACAATCAAATTGGTTCTGTGGGATACGACAAAATATATGTGTTTTATTAAATAATCTAATTTGATGACCAAAACAAACCTATCTAAATATATTAAAATAAACGTTAACTCATTTTTCTTCTAAAGTCTAATGACTGTTTGAATAATAATCGATTAATTAATAATAATTATAAAGTTGAAAATACCTTTTCTTTCATTTCGATTTTATAAATATACCGTTGATTTGCTGATTCCTTAGTGCACATTTTCCTGTGATACTTCTTTAAGTAAAAAATAATCAAAATATTGAGAATAATTATTAAAAACAATGGTATAATCAGGTTGAGTACTGTATCGATATAATTGAAGATTTTCAATATATCTTCGTATCCTGTCCGTTTTCCACATTCCCACATCTCGATTTCTTCATTAAATTCCCCACTAGACATCAATAATATGGGCGACTGGGAAATTATAGTAATTGTAAATATTATTACTATAATAGATTTTGCCCGAGATACGGTGCACACCTGCGGTCTTTTCAGCGGGAATTTGACGACAATGAAACGTTCGACTGTGAAAGCGACCGTAATCCAAACACTAAAACTGCTGAATACCGAACCAACGAATATACTAACTTGGCAGAAAATACCGGTATTACTCAAATCAAATACACATAGTGTCGCTAAATAACCGGCATCTGACATTGATAATGCACCCAAATAGATGCTGGAACTTTTCTTTTTTAAACTAGTTGAGAAAAAAATCAAAATCGCAATAATGTTACCCATTAACCCGATGACGATGATCATCGGCTCTATGTAATTTAAGATGATATCGTAATTATCGCAACTGTCGATGTAATCAATATAGGATGAATTGTTGTAGCACATTTTATATAAATATTATCACGGACACGATTTCACGCTGCTTACATTAAGGGCAAAAGATATGTACTGTGTTGGTCGCTTGCAATTTATTCCAATCGAATAAAAGCGCGCATACGCGCGTCTTCTGCTACTTCGAAATGCCAGTTTTATTTATAACTGTTATGTAAATCTCCATTTACAACAAGACAATTGCAACAAGAATGTTTATTGAAGTACAAAGATTTGAAGCTTTAAATTTAAAAATCGAATATGTTCTAATTCAATGATTTTGTGCTTATTCCTTGTCTTTATCTCTTTGCAGTGTTATGAAATATTAAAAGATGCAATGACTTTATTGAGAGGAAAGCCTTCGCCTAGCGGATATCCCTTTCAAAGTGTCCACACGTACGTCCTGAATCCGAAATCAATAACCATGGGACAATTATATGGTGAATTTGATATGCAGACACACGAATGGTATTGATAATAAAATGTTAAGCAATTTTTATTCTCGTGTATTGTCCTTGCTAGGACCGACGGTATTTTACCTTGCTTGGTACGTGTTGGGGTAGCATGCGAAGATAAAGATAAGCGTTGGTACGTATTCGATGGACCGGTGGATGCTGTCTGGATTGAAAACATGAACACAGTTCTGGATGACAACAAGAAGTTGTGTCTGAGCAGCGGGGAAATTATTAAATTAAGAGACACACAGACGATGATGTTTGAAGTCGCTGATCTAGCAGTTGCATCGCCCGCAACAGTTTCCCGTTGTGGCATGGTTTATTTGGAACCCGGTGTTTTGGGTTTACCTCCGTATTTGAATTGTTGGCTGAGGAGGTTACCACCGGTGAGTTTTAGTTAATATATATTGTAGTGTCAATTATTGGAGGTGAGTTCGTGTTTTAGTTGGCCGTCGATTTTGCGCCCCAATTTCAAGAGCTGTTTAATCAGTACATGTATCCAGCTATAGCATTAGTGAGAGGCCACTTGCGGGAATTGTTAGTTTCGGTCGATTCAGCTTTAGTGACATGCTTTCTGAATCTGCTTGACTTTCGTTTGGGTCCATTAGCGGGTAGAGATAATAAGCCACCGCCACCCGCTCCGTTTCTTAAACTCATACGTAAAACCATACACAGATTTGAAATGTAGAATTACAAGATTAAAACGTTATTCTTTTTCTTTCAGCTGAATTGATATTTCCTTGGGTTATTTTCTCGTTGCTTTGGTCAATTGGAGCTACATGCGACAACGACGGTCGAGTGATATTTAACAAATGGTTAAGAGAGAAGATGACCTCGTTGAAACATAAACCTGCTATGCCCAATGAAGGAATGGTTTATGATTATAAGTACTAAATACTAGAACTACTATAACGTCTATACAAACAATTAATAAATATTTCCATTACAGATTACACGATGGAGGATTTACTGATGCAACAGCTGACGGAGAACCGGCTAAGCCTTCGTGGCGTCATTGGATGGAAAACGTAGAAGAATATAAAATTACAGTAGATATGAAATATTCAGGTAACAATGTTAATAAAAAAAATCCACATCGCTTACGCAATATTAATTCCATTACAAATGATTTGATCACGTTCGCACAAATACGTCATGTCATTGAAACTTAATCTAATATTTTATTTAAACCAGATATTGAAGTTCCCACGATTGATAAAATCAGGAATGCGGAACTAGTAGGAATTCTTTTATATAACGAAAACAATGTCATTTGTGTTGGACCGACTGGAACTGGAAAGTCGCTTACAGTTATTGGAAAGCTCGGAAATAATATGCACAAGAAGTTCATATGCGATTTCTTCAGTTTTTCAGCTCGTACAACTGCCAACCAAACGCAGGTACATAATGTGTACGATAACAGACAGATGAGTCAATATTGTATTTCTTTTTTTTTTTGTTAAGGATTTGATAGATTCGAAATTGGATCGAAGACGTAAAGGTGTTTTCGGACCGCCGCTTCTGAAAAGGCAAGTGTTTTTCATCGATGACTTCAACATGCCAGCGTTGGAAGTGTACGGAGCGCAGCCTCCTATTGAATTAATCCGGCAATGGATGGATTTTAGCGGTTTCTATATAGATTTATTTATTTATACATCTCATTCTTTGTATCATAGGTTGGTATGATAGAAAAAGTATTGGAGACTTTCGTACTATAATCGATATTAACTTTGTGGGAGCAATGGGTCCACCGGGAGGTGGACGTAACCAAATTACTGCACGTCTCTTAAGACACTTTCACTATATATGCTTCCTTGAACTTGAAGATACCAGCAAAGTATAATTACTGTTTCGGTTCGTACATTGCAATAATTGAATGTTTGTAGCGCCAAATATATGGAAAGATACTGAAGTTTTGGCTCGATCGTACACCTGGTTACTACACGTTTTATGAATCCATGTTGACGGAAACCTTGAGCGTATATACAACAATATTAAGAGAACTATTGCCTACTCCAGCTAAAACTCATTACACTTTCAATATGCGTGATTTGAGTAAAGTATTTGAAGGAATTTTAATGAAGGATCCTGAATCTATTAAGGTATTATATACATTTTACTATTAATTAACTGTATTTTATTTTTTTGTGTTTTATTTGTAGACCGTTGAAGAAATAATTCGACTTTGGTACCACGAAAATTGTCGCGTATTTCAAGATCGATTGGTCAATGATGAAGATAGAAACTGGTTCGATGCCCTCTTAAAATCGAAGATTGAATACTTTAGATACAAAATAAGTGATTGTTTAGGAGAAGAGGAGTTGCTTTTTTGCGATTTTCTAGATCCGCATATTGATGTCAGACAGTACGATTTTGTAGCCGATAGCGAAAAAGTAATGCCCACTTATTTATTAGTATTTTACACAAATTACTTATACAATTTTTGCAGTTAACTGACGTTCTGTACCATTATCTCAGAGATTATAATTCACAGACAACCAGTCCCATGCGTTTGGTACTGTTCAATTACGCAATATCACACGTTTGCAGAATTGCAAGGATAATTAGACAGCCGAAAGGCAATGCTCTCTTATTGGGAGTTGGTGGATCTGGTCTCTATTTTTAATAATAGCACAAATAATAAGCCTAGATTATTTTGTTCAATGCTATTTTAGGGCGTCAAAGTTTGACACGATTAGCTGCGCACATTGGTGAATTCTATTGCTTCCAAATTGAGTTGAGCAAAGCGTACAGTCTATTCGACTGGAAGGAAGACATAAAAGGATTGATGCTGAAAGCAGGCCTCCATAAACGGGAAACTGTATTTCTATTTTCTGATACGCAGATCAAATCTGAAACATTTCTGGAGGATCTCAATAATATTCTTAATTCCGGGGATGTACCCAATATATATCAACCCGAAGAATTGGATAAAATCTATCAAGGATTAAAAGGTACTTTAACAGAGATGGGACTAACTGCAACGAAATCAAACTTATTCGCCGTCTATCAAAGATTGGTCAGATCTAACTTACATACTGTTATTACAATGAGGTGATGTATTTATTCTATATTTAATTATCGGTTACGACAATACATTTTTTGAATGAAATTTAGCCCAATTGGTGAAGTGTTTCGATCTCGTATTCGACAGTTTCCAGCTTTTGTGAACTGCTGCACAATTGATTGGTTCAGTGCATGGCCGAATACAGCACTATTGGTATTGGTGCACACATACAATTTGAATCAATATATTACATTAACGCTTTTCAGTCAGTTGCTACGCAATTTTTGGAAGAAATTCCAGAATTATCTGTTACCGACGATGTCCGGTATGGTATAGCTATGGTTTGTCAAATAATGCACGCTAGCGTTGTCACTGCCAGCCACTGGTATTTCCAAGAACTCAGTCGTTACAATTACGTAACACCAACATCGTATTTGCAACTGCTATCAAGTTACACTGATCTCATGGCGAAACAAAAAGGGGAACTAATGGAAGGAATAGGCCGACTCGAAATAGGTACATGATTTCAGTTTAGCTGAGTATAAATTAAATTGCAATTTTAAAATAGGTTTAGATAAGTTGCAATCAACCGCCGAAGAGACAACGTTTCTTCAGAAACATTTGGAAGTGTTGAAACCCGCTTTGGAGATTGCCGCTAAAGAAGCCGAAATTATGATTGAACAAATTGCGAAAGACACGGTCTTCTATTTAATTACTTTATTATATTCGGATTTTACTTAACACAATTTTCATTTAGTTAGTTGCGGAAGAAACTAAAGTGATAGTGGAACATGAAGAAGCAGCGGCTGAAAAAAAGAAATCTGAAACCGAAACAATCGCCCAAGACGCTGAAAGAGATCTCGGTTTGTTTGTTGTTTTTTTTTTTGGTTATTTTTATGTAATGCAATTTTCAAATGTATTTTAATTTAGAGGCGGCAATGCCTGCGTTACTTGCTGCCGAAAAGAGTCTTCAGTCTTTGAACAAGAACGATATTACTGAAGTAAGGGCCATGAAACGACCGCCTACTGGTGTTATCTACGTTATTGAAGCTATATGCATTGTCAAAAATGTTAAACCAAATAAGGTATGTGTATGTGTAAATAAATATTACAATTATAGTCAGACAAGATTTATATTAGGTGCCAGGATTGAAACCCGGTGAGAAGCTTAATGATTATTGGGAGCCAGGTAGAGCAATGCTGACAGATCCAGGCGCTTTCCTAGTTTCATTAATGAATTTCGACAAGGATTCGATTACAGAAGATATGATTAACAAATTGAAAAGTTACGTTGAAGATCCGCAGTTCCAGCCGCAGAAAATCATTAAAGTATCGAAGGCGTGCACCTCTCTTTGCATGTGGGTACATGCGATGTATAAGTATTACTTTGTAAACATGCAGGTCGCTCCTAAAAAAGCAGCTTTAGCGCAAGCGAATACGGAGCTCGCTCTTACCGAGGCAGCATTAGCGGGGGCCAAAGCCAAGATGAAAGCCGTTATGGATGGATTGGAGCTGCTGCAAGAGAAATTGGCTGCTCGTATTGCGTACAAAGAAGAACAGGAAAGCAACATAAACATGTGCCAGGAACGTATGAATAGGGCTATAAGACTAATTACGGGTTTAGCTGACGAGAAAATTAGATGGATCGATACTATAAAAAATATCAATCTGAATATGGTGAACGTAACTGGCGATATATTGATTTGCTCTGGAACTGTAGCTTATTTAACTCCATTTACCGACAAGTATAGGAGAAGACTTTTGGCTAAGTGGATGCGAGAGTTACGTTTATATAACGTCCCGCATTCGCCGACCTGCGATCCCGTACTTATTTTAGGAGAACCAGTGTTAATTCGCCAATGGCAAATCGAAGGTCTACCTAGAGATAGTTTGTCTACGGAAAATGCAGTGTTAGTATCACGTTCCAAACGATGGCCTTTGTTTATTGATCCTCAAGGACAAGCCAATAAGTGGATTAAAAATATGGTATATACTAAATGTATTTAAATGACATATTTTACATTTTAACATTTACAATTCAGGGCAAAACTAGAGGTATTGCAATTTGTAAATTAGCAGACAAGGATTTGATCAGAACACTGGAATTGTCTATACGTTTCGGAAAACCGGTCTTAATTGAAAATGTTGGAGTGGAATTGGATCCAGCCTTGGACCCCGTTTTACTAAGATTGATTTTCAAACAAGGCAATACAAATATGTTAAAAATTGGCGATTCCATTGTTCCATATAACGACGACTTTCAACTTTACATAACTACGAAATTAGCAAATCCACATTACACACCTGAAGTATCGGTGAAAGTGCAATTAGTCAATTTTACTCTTGTCCCAAGGTATATTAAATTAAAGTAGTTTTAAGCATTTTAATGAATTATCTTACAGTGGCTTGCAAGATCAACTATTGGCATTAGTCGTGCTTCAAGAAAGGCCAGATTTAGAAGAGCAAAGAAGTCAAATTATAGTTGGCAGTGCGCAAATGAAGCAAGAGCTGAAAGATATACAAGATAGAATTTTGCATAAATTGAGTACATCGGAAGGTTCGCCTTTAGATGATATCGATTTTATCGTAGCACTGGAAGCGTCTAAAGTAAAAAGTGAAGACATTAAAGTAAGATTTAAATTTTTAATTTTAAAAAGAAATTATTAAGATTTTATTTCAATCAAATAACAGAGCAAAGTGGAATCTGCCGAAATAACGCAAATTGATATAGATAATACACGAGCACAATATATACCAGTAGCTAACAGAGGTCAGATTCTTTATTTTTGTGTATCCGACCTATCAAATGTTGATCCGATGTATCAATACTCGTTGGAATGGTTTATAGCCATTTTTGTAAATGCAATGGCCGAAACTGAAAAAACAGGTAAAAGCTCAGTTCTTTATTAATTAACGTAATAATAATATATTTTTTTATAGATGATTTAAACGAACGTGTTGCTATAATAAATGACCACTTCACCTATAGTTTATATACAAATGTATGTAGAAGCCTTTTCGAAAAGCACAAACTGTTATTTGCTTTTCTATTGTGCGTTAGAATGCTCATGGACACTAAAGAAATATTTCCAAATGAATGGCACCATTTTTTGGCTGGTGGAAGTCCCACATTAGTAAAACTGTTATATTCGAAAGTAATTGTTTAATAAATGTTTATTTTTTTAGGACATGGAAAATCCTGCATCATCTTGGCTTTCTGAAAAGGCTTGGATGGAAATACTATCTTTAAACAACTTGGATCATTTTCAAGAATTTGTTAATACATTTCCAAGTAATGTCGGTACTTATAAATATATCTTTGAATCACCGGAACCTCATAGGTGAATAAAGAAAAGGAATTTAGATCATATTATATATGAATATTTTTAGAGAGCAATTGCCAAAAATATTTCGTGGAAAATTGGATGAATTTCAAAAATTGATTATTCTAAAATCATTGAGACCGGACAAACTCACGAATGGAATGCAAGATTTTCTCACAGAGAAGATGGGCGAACGATTCGTGGAACCACAAGCAACCGATTTGTCCGCAATGTACAAAGAATCTTCGCCACTAATTCCTTTGATATTTGTTTTATCAACCGGTACGGATCCTGCAGCAGATTTATATAAATTTGCAGATAGAATGAAAATGTCCAAGAGAATGATGTCAATCTCTCTTGGACAAGGTCAAGGCCCAAGGGCCGAGAAGATGATTCAAGAAGGTTCGGAAATAGGAAGTTGGGTATTTTTTCAGGTTTGAAATTAATTTATTAATGTTTAATGTAATGGTAATCGAAGCTTTGTAGAATTGCCACTTGGCACCGAGTTTTATGCCGCGATTGGAACGAGTAATCGAGCAAATACCAATTGACACTGTTCATCGTGAATTTCGAATATGGTTGACTTCGACGCCGTCGCCGGCATTCCCGGTTTCCATCCTACAGAACGGAAGTAAAATGACTATAGAACCACCGAGCGGCCTGAAAGCCAACATGCTACGAGCTTATTTAAATCAAGTTTCTGATTTATCTGATTATTTTCATTCGGAGCATGAGAAAGTGTTCACTTTCAAATGGTTGTTATTTTCGCTTTGCATGTTTCATGGTTGCCTTCTGGAGCGTAGGAAATTCGGACCTTTGGGCTTCAATATACCGTACGAATTCACCGATGGTGATTTGAAAATCTGCATCTCTCAATTGTATATGTTCCTAATGGAATATACGGAAGTACCATTTAAAGTTTTAATATATACTGCGGGACATATCAATTACGGTGGTAGGGTCACCGATGACTGGGACAGAAGATGTCTGATGAACGTATTGACAGATTACTACAAAACTGATGTTATCAATGTGCATTATGCATTTGATGATCATGGATTTTACCACCAAGTAATTATTAAACGTTAATTATGCAATGATTTATTAAATATTTCCTTCAGCTGCCAGGTGATACACCGCTGATAGATTACATGGACTACATTCGCTCATTTCCATTGAACGATGATCCAGCTCTATTCGGTCTTCACAAGAACGCTGATATAAGTTGCGCTCAAGCGGTGAGCTATACTTGTTTGTCGACTTTACTGAAGCTCCAGCCTAAAGAAATTGGAGGATCTGCGACAAGCCAAGAAGATGTCACGGCAAAAGTTTCCAAAAACATCTTAAAAGACATTCCACCACAATTCGACGTGGATAAAATCTTAGAATTGTCTGTACTTTTTAATATTACTTATTATATTATCTTACAACTTTTTTTAATTACCAGGTATCCAGTTACGTACACGGAATCATTAAATACCGTAATAGTCCAAGAAGCGATTAGGTATAACAAACTTTTGCAAATTATAGTTTCGACTCTGAACGATCTACTCAAAGCTATTAAAGGATTGGTTGTTATGTCAGAGGCACTAGAACAAATGTCTAGAAGTTTGTTTAGCAATATGGTGCCTGCCAAATGGGCGTCAAAAGCTTATCCATCTTTAAAACCATTAGGTATTTTTATAAATATTTTAAAAATGTATCACACACCTTGTTTATTTGTAGGTGCCTGGGTTAAGGATTTGAACGATCGCATTGCATTCCTTAACAAATGGGTTCTTGAAGGAATACCTCCAGTATTTTGGATCTCAGGTTTCTATTTTCCACAAGCTTTTCTCACTGGAACATTGCAAAACTACGCTAGGAAATATGTATTGTCCATAGATTGTATCGGTTTTTCATTTAAGGTAATTATTAAAATATTTATGTACACTTATATACAAATATACATGTATTAATCTTTTAGGTTCTAAAAAACTATCCAACTGAAAGAGCTGCTGATGGATGTTGTATTTTTGGTCTATATATAGAAGGTTGCAGGTGGAATAAAGCTAAAGAAATCCTGGATGAATCTAACCCAAAAGAGCTGTATACAGGTACTCAATTGCAATCAATAAGTTTAAATTATACTTACAAATTGAATGTATCTTGAAATCTATAAAAACTAATAATCTTACACTTAATTTAATACGTTTAATACTTTCAGAGATGCCAGCAATATGGTTAATACCTGAAGAAAATCATAAAAAACCTGCATATGGCGTATATGAATGTCCAGTTTACAAAACATTAACAAGAGCTGGAACGTTATCAACTACAGGTCATTCTACTAACTACGTTTTGGCTATAGAGGTACCGAGTTCAAAGCTTGAGAAACACTGGATTCAGCGTGGAGTTGCGCTCATTTGCGCCTTGGATTATTAAATCAATGTTTTTCTAATATTTGAAAATATTTATTACTTGTTTTTATTACACATATACAAATCTTTCTCTACTTGCCTTAACAAGTAAATAAAATTATTAAAAAAAAAGTATAACAAAATGTACATGAACTAAGTTATTAAGGGAAAAAAATTACATTGGAGCATATTGTTTTAGCAAATCACACATCAATTCTCCATCCGGATTATTTTCTATATGACAAGCAAGAAGTTTTTGTACATTTATTAAATTTCCTGTAATGACCTTTGGGAATTTCCGCTCCTTGTTTTCACTGTATGTAAACAACAACCGTTTTGACAAATACGTATCGCAGATTGAAACATTTCCTACCTCCACGTAGGTTTTCAATGAATTCGAAAACATTTGAATGGATAACCGTAAACTCTCGTAATTATCAATCTTATTGGCTGGTAAAAGCACTAAACGGAAATGATTTCCCAATGGTTTATATATATCTATAACTTTTTCAACAACCTCGTCAAATGTTTTGTCCATCTCCACGTTACAACATTTGGTAGCAGAGAAGAGTTCAATAGCCGACTGTTGCACTAAATTGAATAAACTTGGCTCATCCTTCGTTAATGGCTCATATTTTCGACCAGCGGAAAACAATTTTAAAGGCAGTTGAGATGGCATCATTGAATATTTGGTAAAGTACGCCATGAAAGCGTAATGAGAAGCACCTCCAGTTAAATGTAGTCTGTTAAGACTGAAGTGGTTTCCATCATTCAAAGTTATCGTGCTGAATATATCTGCATAATTTGATCCACAGCCTTCCACAATCACGCTCTTGGAAAAGTCAGCATTCGAAAATTGCGTAAAGGATGAATCCAACAATTTACTCTGTGCATAATTAACTATAGCATATTCAAATGTAGCTGCCTCATTCATTAAGAATACAAATGAATTATTTGTATGTTCTATTAGTTTCTTTTCTGTTCCAATCTCTATATGAGACTTACTTTCATGATCAGGTTTCTCAAAGAATGTTGCAATAACATTTTCTTCTCCAATGGGTGTTTTTTCGTGTAGAACATTGGGTAGTTCAAGTGCCTTCAGAGCTGCAGATTCTTCAACTCCATACAAAAATTCCTTCATAGTAGAATACTCATCTTTAAGAATTCTAGCATGTACTTTCAATTTTTCAAGTTCTTCTTTGTTTTTCTCCTGATCTTCCATAAGTTTCCCAATTTCCTTGCTGATTTCCGACTTTGTGTAACTTAATAAATTCTTCCTGTCCAATAAGTTCAAATAAAATGACCATCTTCTTTCCAAAGAATCCAAATCTATATACAGGCCGCGGGCTTTGATATTTAATTGTAAGCCCTCATAATCATTATATCTTTCATCAAGATCAATGTGAGGGGTTAAAACGGCAAAATTGTTATGAGCTTTGTCGCCGGTTATATACAAGGCTGAAGAAAAGTTATGTGTAAACCTAGCAATAAATGTATTAGATATTATTTTTTTTGCAAACATCTTCAGTCCGTTTTTTGCTTCTTTGCAGAAACTTCCTCCTTTTCTGGTTGTGTAGTAATTTTCCTCTTCTGAGGTTCTTTGAATGATCCCAATCCAGCAGCTCTCACTGATTCCTCGATTGTGTATGGCTCAAGTTCTAAAGCCTTCAATCTTCTCTTGTGAACCTTTGTACGGAAGTGATCATGCAGAGCTTGATCATTGATGAAATACCTTGCACAGTGGACACAGTAGAATTGAGCACTGCCTGGTTTATCCAAATCCACTTCTTGGTCTATTAATTTCTCAGCATTTTCAGGCTTAATGTCTTCATCAATCTGAAATAAAGGTTACAATTAGTATGAGTTTTCAAACTACAGTCTAAGATTTAAAATAACCTAAATTGAAAATAGCATGTTAAATTTAAACAGTGCAAATAAAATGAAACGTAGTAACACCTGGTATGTCAAAATAAACATAACCTCAAACACAAAATGGTTAGTTTAACCAGTGCATATTGCATTACACGTGTACGAGTAAAAATAATATGCTTTAAACAAGTACACATTGTAAAAACACATTATAATTTAATTTTGCTTTAAGGTTAGATGAATGAAATAATGAAAATTGTTTAAATACCTGATCTAAATCTTTAGTTCTACGTTTGGTTCGGTACTTTTTTCTGAGATGAGTATCACCGTAGTGGTACTTTTTACGTCTGTAAACCATTACTTAACTGTTTAGATTTTCGTTGTTAATGAGCTCAAATTTGCACGCAGTCAACAGCAGATCGCACACGTGCTTCGACTTGAAGTGATTGGAAGTCAGATGCACCAACGTAAAATCGGCTGACAATTGCGCAATTAGAGATACTATATTTAGTATTTAAACAAATTTTATTTCACTATTTGCAGACATGATCTGAAGTTGATATCAAATATTAAGTAAAGCTTAGTGATAAGACTCTTATCAAGACTTTTATAAAAGTTCATTTCGGATCATTGCACTAAAACCCAATATTTGGGGATTTTTTCATTTTCATGTTTGCAATATAATTTCAAATATATGTATACCTACCTTTATGTTACTTTATGTTATATTTAATTTAAAAACATCATAATTCCCAATAAGTTTTTATAGTTTCGTAGGTATAATTAGTTTATTTTCTTTTTCATGTGAATGTGGTTGCCTATAAATATTTAATAATATCTGAGAAAAATATATTCTATTTATTTCTCGTCAATATTCAGAAATAAGAGTCAGAATATCAATATATTTAATGCAAGCATAATTATACAACATTTATCTTTTGATGTACAAATCAATAGCTAGAAATTAAGAATTTTGATATTATATATATTATAAAACATTTCCAGAACAAGTCAAAAGCTGGTACTAAATAAAAAAAAATACAAAATACAATAATTCTTAAACGAAAAGCTATGGTCAACAGCCTTTTGTAAAAGTGTATTTTTTATGTTTCATTATTATTGTATGAATATGCAATTGAGTGTGAAAAGTAACCAATAGATGGCGAATAATGTATGTAGTTATATAATAAATTGATATTGCAGTTGGTTGCAGCTAACGATGTATTAAATTTATCGATTTGTACTGCTTTTACACTGTTGCATGATAATAATGTATTACAATATGAGAATGTATATATGGAAATAGAATATCCGACTACAAATTGTCAGTTAATGTAATTTCTTTAATTTCACAGAAATTATATTTTATTGTTGAAATAATTTGAAATAGTTTATACATAATATTTGTTAAGATTGGTTTTGAACTTTTTCATTAAATATTTCTCATATTACAATCTTCTGGTAAACTTGAATTAAACTTTAACTGAAAAATAATAATAAATTATTTTCTTTTCTATTAAAAACAAGTTAATATGAATAAATTGATTATGTTAAATTTAAAAAGCAATGTTAAGTTTAAGTTATCATTTAAGATATCTTTATTTAGAAATATTTAATATACAAAAATATATCTACTTATTTTACCATGATACCATAAAATGTACAAGGTAAAGCGCTCCATTTATTGATGGTCACCGAGACCGTAAATGAGAGGAATGGGATGTATCTTTAAGAATACGTTATGTATACCAATACCGTTACGGTCACCAAAAACATCATGCGCGAAAAATGACGAAAATGGAACGACTGTCCGGTGTACCTTTGATATTTGAATTTTACTAATACCTGCGCGCTCCGACTAGTCTAGTCCCAGTGTTTGTATACTTCTACTCATCATTATCAGTTTGCACTTCGTTTCCTATCGCCTCGGGTGAAACATGAGCGTGCATCAACTCATATAAAATTTTTCTAAAATTTGTCCACTGGAATTCGATTTTATAAAATAATACACGTAGATTATAGAAATATAATAGCCGTTAAAAACATATGACAAATATAAAATGACAAACATTATTTTGTATTTTCATTATGTATAAGTAAGAGAAAAAATATAGAAAAATAAGATCAATCTCTCTCTGTTTAACATATATATTTATTTAGCGATGATTCAGTATTATGTAATAATGTTGTTGGTGGCAGTAGTGTAGTTGTCGTAAACCTATTGTATAATAGATAATTATGTGTATCCTGTGTGTAAGCCAATAATGTTAGATTTGAAGTAGTTTGACAGTTTCGAAGGTTAGATGGCGCTGAGGTAATGGCGTCGCTGGGTTGTGTTGGTAGTGGTTTGTTAACAGATGGAGTGTGGCTGAACGTTGCCATTTAAACTGTTATTTGTGTTGTCAAAAGTTTGGGAATTTTTATTATTGATCCCGAGTATGTAAAAAGCAGTGAATAAATGTGAGGAGACATTGGAGAGAGTGTAGAATCGAATTCGACGGGAGGACGACGTCGGGACGACCGCCGGCGGTGCGTAAACAAACACAGAGAGTGTCCTTTCGCGCGTTTATAATAAATCCACAAGCCGGCAGCCATGTTGTAATACTTGTCAGGCATCATGGGTTAACACAGTAAACTTCGTTGTGTACATTTTCATGTGTATCTCAGTGAGAAAACCAAGTTTTAGGGCGATCTGACGCGTTGGACCCTTGAGATTCGTGCGTTCTAATAGCGCGTGTGGATAATGTTTGCGGGTGTTGTGATGTTTCTGCGCATTATTACGGTCAGAGTGTGTGCAACGTCGTGGTAGTAGCGCAGGGAGTCGTCTACTGGCTGTCCAGGTGAGCGTCGAGAGCATCCCTGGCGAGGGAGGTGAACTTACCGAGTCGTTGGGGCCGACCAAGTTGCCAGAGCCCCCGCCTCGGTCATGGTGACGAGCGTTAATGTTTCATAGTGTCACGTGTGGTGTGCGGTAAACACAGGGATTTATAAAATTATATATCTCTACTATGGCTCAGGCTCTTGGAAAAGATCCCGACGCCTATTTGAAAGAGCGGGACGGCTTCCTCCGGGACCTGCAGCACTTTCACGAAACCAGAGGGTAAGTGTTGGTGTACTAGCTAAAAGGACACGGGGGGTTGATGGTGCGGGGTGCAGGGTGAATTCAGGCGCCGCCGCCTCCTCCACCGACAATACCGCTCTTTTCTGATTAGCTTTCTAATATATCATATAACATACCAATAATATAGTTGTAATATTCCATAATATTAATGACACTGTTTTTTTTTTGTTCTCACGTTATATGATGGGCTTTTGCAGGACTGCGTTTCGTCGAATCCCAAAGCTAAACGGCACCGAGATCGACCTTTTCCTGCTGTACTCCCTGGTAACCGCCGAAGGAGGATGGATCAAGGTATTTATACCATTTGCCATATAATCTTCCAATCATTAGACGTATAAGTCGCTGACCTTGGCGGTTATGTTGAGCCATTATAATAGGCTTTTATAGCACCCATAGCATGGAACTGAAATGCATTTGCCCGTGTTTCTTCCCCCCCAACGTGGTCACGCTTATTGTTTACTATTTCTTTCTCGCCGCAGACCGAATGTTTGACACTAGCTAGACTTGACTTCGGCCTCACACAGTTTACGTATGGCCCGGCTATTCGACTGTGTACGGAAGGTACTGAAGCAAGGTCACGGTTAAGTCTTTATCAGCTTAACTGCCCCGCCTCCCGGTGGTACACATACTCCACATATAGTACATGTGCTCCTCTCCGAAGAGCCGGTGTTGTTTTTGCGGAAGGACTTTTACCTCTCTCGCACTTTCCTGCGATAGTGAAACCAGAATGTGCTGCCGGACACTTCCAACTTCCTGCATTTCCAATTCCATTACAATACGCACTCGAAACTCCAACTGGAGGCTAATCACCGTTCTCCCTGATAACGCAGTTCCCATTCATCGGCAAATACATTTTCTCACAACAAAACAATTGTATTTAGCCTTGTAATTACACTTACCAGCCGCAAATAACCGTTCTACGCATATAAAATAATCTCGCTCAAAAGGAATCAAGTTCTACAGCTCTTTGTAGTTCCGGTTCGTTATTACTGCCGGGCATATACATATTTGGCATGCCCAATAAAATAAAACATCCCCAGATATAATTATTGATTGGTTGGCATGGTTATTGTAGCCAGCACCGGAGCCTCATTCGACAAAGCTTCATAATTATATTTCTCTCTCTCTATGTATAATTTTGCATTAAACATGTAGCTGATAATATTTTTGCTTTTCGAATCACAGCACATCAACTTTTAATGATGAGCATAAATTCTGTTCTGTCATTGGAATACATATATAGAAAAAAAAAAACAAACAAACACCATAAACGTTATTTTAGTCTATTCATTGTAATATAAAAATATAAGTATATTCCGAATCAATGACAATACAACGACCATGATCTTTGTGCTGCGTATATAAATAAAATTAGAATTTTTCTCTGAACATCTAAATCTCCTTATATTGTATTAAACGGTATTAGTTATAGTTAGAAAAATATACCATCTATAACTTAGATTTAAAAAATGTTGTAATCATTTGAATTCCACGAATCCCAATTATATCATAATTTATTAATACATTGTTTCCATTCTCCGTACAACTTACTGATAACTTTTGCCATTTTCAATCAAATAATGTTATTATTATTATATAAAATTTATTTATTGAATTTAATGTAGCTAAAAGAAGTTTCTATCGAGTAAACCTAATAGCATGCAAACGGGACAACGAAATTGTTAATAAGTGAAATACATATATCTAATCAAAAATTGCATTGTATCCATCCAGTCGCCAATAAATTCAGTAAAGATTTGAATTTAGAAAGCAACCGTTGCTTACGTTCCATGCGAAAACTATCGGGCATTTAATTTTCTTTTTCATTGTATTCAGTATGACTTATTTATATCACCAAGTTTATGACTTAGTGTAGAGAGTGCTGTTTCTATGAAGTTTCACTCAAGAAAGTTATAAAAAGATTTTATAATATCAATACTAATACTAGACATATGGCTACTTTTCAATTAAACAGATATTCGTATAGTATTTCTACATCTGTAAAAAAAATCATCTATACTATTATAATATGTATAACATTATGTATATTTATATTCACATAGAATAGTAAATATGAATCTTGCATTTCTATCACGGTTTCTTTTCCGTGTTTTGCAGCGGTGCTGTGTGTACGGTTATGTAAAGAGCAGCGCAGTTTAAATTTCACTTCTGCAGCAAAGTTTATTTGCAAATAGGAATTTGTTGATGATATTATGTTACATTTCTTAAGTAATTTTCAAATGTTAGAAATGGAATGCATTAACTGCGCATGAAATGAAAATATTGCCCTAAACGAGTCACGCAATTCAAAAATGCCGCGAATTAATTATACAATTTGTTTCAATAAAAATGTATTTGTTTAAAAAAATATAGTTTGCGTTAATTTTTGTATACGTGAATTATAATATGCACGTATAAACTTGTTTGTTATTTTTAAAATCTACATTGCATTTCGTTGAAAATAATATTGCTGAGAACATGCTGTACTTTGTAAAATTACAACGTTGTCTAGAAATTGCTTTGGCATTGATCTCGTAAATAATTACAAATTGTTATTATAATAATAGTAGCTCTTTATTGTTGATCTTTTCGTATAGATGGAGATATCTGAATTATTCTATTTTACCTCAATGCATTAGTACATGTTTATTTTATATTATTCTTTAAGTCATGTTTATGTGTTGCACTATTCAGATCTTTGAGTTATCTGAAGGTCACTTACTAGATTTTTTTATGCATCCACTGCAGCTGGCAGCAGCGCTTATATTATTAATTAAGTCTGATTGTAATAACTGATTGTTTTATATTTCTTTATTGAGAACTTAGTCTACTTTTTTAATAAACAATTAAGCCATCAATGTAACCTATATTTCAGCATTATCAGAATATAAAAAAAATATAATTAGAAAAATCAATATAGCAGCATTTGCTGCTGAAAATTGTGTTATATTTATACTATTAGCTGAATTGTTAAATTGAAATAGTTTAATCCGTATTTAAAATAACACATATGTCTTCATATATCTGAGATTAGTACTGTAAAGTATTTATATTTGATATCAGTAATTTGATATACAAAATGGTGTTTATTGTTTCTCTTATACACTAAAAATTAAATATTTTTCTAGATTATGTCTATATTATAATAATGTAATTCTATCTAGTCAGATTATAGTAGAAAGAAATACAATTTGGATCATAGAAGCCTGATTGTTAGACAATCTAATCGTGTATAGAGCATCAATTTCATTAAAAATAGTTACACTCTAAATCTGGAAGTTTTAAACTTTAAATTAATTCTTTATATTATGGTCGAATGTTATTCAAGTCTACTTTTCACCAAAAAGTGATTGATTTTTCTGCTTAAAAAGTAATCGCGATCTTTTAAAATCAAGATTTTTCTTGTTTTACTATAGTAACAATCCATGCTCTCTAATATAGTCTATATATTATTATAGAAAATATTCCTCTTTTTTTGTAATCTCCATTACTTGTTTTCTATTATTCTATTACTTTTATTACTGTCACTTGCTGTATCCTCAATAACTTTACTGGAATGTATTTACCAGGTTGAAATAGTCTTTTGTAATGCGTGGATATTCGGATGTGAAATTAGCTCTTGATATTTGAACTGGGATTCGGCGTACGTTTCGAAAAATTATGAGCTACGAGTGACGAGAGTGCGAGTTGAGCGCGCGTAAGACCCGTTTAAAGTAGAAATTGCATATCAGTAATAGTGAGCCGAACGTCGACCTAGTGAACGTCGCTGGTGCCAATATAGTGACCGAGGCCTTCTTCATGTGTCCCGTGCCGCTGTGAGCAGAGGGTTTGGTGGGGGGTATTCTCAGGGAACAGACCCTGACCTAGTCCAACATACGGTATCGTACCACACCGGCTCGGCCCGCTCTCGGCACAAGTAGAGCCCAGCCGACAACGGGGGTGGTGGCTTGCACTCGTGCTACTACTCACTTTCTCCCGCATCCAGATTTTTAAACATTTATTTGTAACAAGTGCGACACACCGCTACTACTACTACTACTTAGGTAGCTTCGGATCTTTGCGACATGTTTTGACTGGGCGGTATAGGAATTCCAGTTCCTGAACCGGAGGTGACCAATTATTCTTGGCAACTGAGATGACACCCCTGCCGGCAGGTCGACTCAACATCATGAAAACGACAGACCGATGATGGAAAACAATCAGAAGTATATTCTGTAGGTGGTCTATATTTAGAGCCACTGTGGAATTGTACTATAGGTGGTGTACACTTATACCGTGGATGTAAACGGGTTTCGGCAAGGCATTTCGCACTATTAAAGCGATCCATCTTCTTACTTCGACACTTTCGGATAACCGGATTTCATTATAATACAATCCAGTATGCTATACTATTTGTTTCCAAGCTCCCCCTTTCAGACATGTTGGAAATGTTAATAATGTAGTGGCACGAAACTTATAATTCAAAAGGTCATATTCAATAATTACATTTGATCATGTAGAATTGGAAACGTTAATATTTTATCTACCAAACAAATAATCAAATAAAATTAATTTTAACATGTGGTTTGTAATTAAAAGTTTGATGGAATTGTCTTTAATTAATTTAGAAGACTTTGTAACACAATGACTCGCTTCTTGAAGGTAACAATATCTTTATTCAAAATCTCAGAATATACTACAGGCAAAGTACGTGTGTTGACTTCGATTATAAACGTAGGACTGGTATTTTTTGTTATGATCTAATCTGAAGTGTATGGCTGGCTGTAAAGTTCTCGGGTTATAACATACAGGATGTTTTAATTTAAATATTCATTAGCCGTAAATCTACAGAGTTTCGGGGTACTATTGTTTGGAGAGGGCGCTGTCGTCGGATTTCGGGTTTTAATATGGAATTTGTATGGTTTTAGGAAGTGGAAAATAAAGAGAACATCATAATCGTCGGTATTGTGTTCGGACGAGTTTTCTCTCCTGGCAAGTCGGTCGGTGAACTCTCGCCGGCGAGCCCGTACAAAGTGCGCGCTCTCTCTCGAGCCGCTGACTAACCGACAACATAGAGAACCAGCCGCTACGGATGGATCCGGCTATCCTTTCAGACGTCCTTTTCCCTCACACAGGTTTTCCATAGTTACCAGTCCCCTTCCTCCCGTATCCTGGCACCCAGAAACACGATCGGCCACGTTGCCGCGTTCCACTGCTCAGGAACTGTTGCCGCCTTTACTGATGTATGCTTCCAAGGCCGACTTAGCACCGATTTATATTCGTTAAACGTATCTTACTTTTTTATATTAATATTTTTTGTATTATTACTTTTTTTTTTCAACGCTCGGACTTTGGGTTCATCTCCAGATTGAACCACGATAATAGGGGACCACATGGTCCGTCTCGTGGGAAATTCAACATTACAACTTTGGGACAAATCAGTGTCTTATAAATAAATGAAACATTCTTATTGAATAAAAAAAATCTTATATTAAGAAAATTTTAAGAGAAGAGAAGAAAAAGTAATTACTGGTTAGGGGGAGGGTTTCTTGATAATCAAGTGGTTCGAAGACGTGCGAAATCTTGGGTAGCCGGTGATAAATCCCAGAGGCGAGTTGGAAATCCCGCGGAAAAATCAATAGTTTACTTCTATCGGTAGAGCTCAGTACGGGTCAAACATAACATAGAAGGAATATCTTGGCTACTTGGGGAGAGACATTGACAAAGGTTCCTTCAGGCGCAGCAGATCCCATTCGTCATGACGAGTTTATATCACCCTAGTATCTACATTAAAACGCATATGTTTTTTTTGTTATCATGTTCTTATTAAATCTGAGTAACAAATATTTGTTTATTAGGGCATACCTATACATACATAATATAATTGTTGATATTTGCTTTCGCTAAAATTGATTAATGACCACTACTCATTTGAAGCTGGAGACTGGTTGTTCCAAAATCCCGACATAAAACGTGGTTTAGAATTTGTCCAGATTGAAATATGCACCTCAAACCATCAGTACAAGTACAGGTAGCAAATGAAGGAATGTTATTCTGATTTTTATGGCATTGTTAGTCTTATTAATTATTTTGTCCCTATCCATTATTTTGTAGGTAAATGAATACAAATATTTGATGTGCTTATTTTATGTTGACAAAGGTAGTAATGTTTGTTGTTATTTTAGGTGAACTGGAAGAATTCGTGGCCTGAACTATTCGAACACCTGAATATCCCAGACAGTTGCGTGAATGCGAGTATCGCCCTCAAGCAGATCTATCTCAGGTGAGTTATGTGAATGGAACGATACGAGCAAAGCTTCTTAGCCTGAGCTCTAGTCTGGTGGTGGTTGGTATGTGTGTGTGGTGTACGATAAGTCGAGGACTACTGGTAGTACTAGAACAGTGTCTACTGGCACCCCACCGGCAGGACGAGTACAAGCGTGAACGAATGAGTTGAGTAGTATCAGAGTGGAGTGCCGATACTATGCTATGCTCCACTACTCTCCCCTCCCGCCACCATTCACTAATAACGGCGCCGAGTGACGCTCGCACGTGGTGCGCCCGATCTCGTGTGCTTTCCTCTCATCCGTCGTGTAGGTCAGTGCCGTGACCCTGTGAGCTGCACTAACTGTTCCGTTTCGTGTGTTTCGTTTGTCGCAGATACCTGGACAGATGGGAGAAAGTGCACTTCCTTGGCGAAGAGGCGGACCGGGGCAGCGACGACGACGAGGAGAGCCGCCACAAGCGGTGGTCAGCTAGGGCCCTACACTCGGTACCACTCACCTACAATTACCAGCAGCACAACATCGCAGGTATGTATATCACAAATATTAGTATTACATAAGTAATCTAATTGGATGTTTATATACTACTAGCAAATCATGAATTTTCTTTCATAAGTCCTACTGTTAGAATCGTATTATAAGTTTCAAGTGATTGTCTTTCCTTCTGATATTCACTGAAATAACAATTGTAAAGCCAAGTATGTTTTGGTCATCAACTAACTTACATTGTGTTGTATAATGTATAAATATTAAATAATTTTGTCAATCGATTCTGATATACGATTCTAAAATCAACATTAATTATGAAATTGCATTTTCATCGATCAATATGCACAACATATAAAAGGATTCCAGTTCATTTGAGCAAGCTTTTTTTTTTATTTGCATGTAAAAATGTCCAGTGTTAAATGCAATACAGAATTTTATATCGGGTGCTTATATTTGCTCGGGCAATCATTGATCGTTGCGTAAAAGTGGGTTAAATACATTTAATAAAAGAGAACCTTATAAATTAGGAGTGTACCAGATTATTCAATTTACGTGTGTTTCTTAAATCTACCCGTTTTAAATTTGGATATATCCGCTCGGTAATTATTTCACTTCGAATATTCCATTGCGATGATGTAAGTACATCACTCACTCACCGTTCCTAACATATATATTCATAAATTCTAGTCAGTAGGAAATAAGTTTATTCAGAATAGTTTCAAATATTTTTTTTGTATATCATCTTAAAAACTTGAGTGGAATGTAAAATGTAAACAAAAGATGCTACTTCGGTCCCGTTCTCGTTTTTCCGACCTCTAATCGCAAGAAATGGGACTTTTGAACATTCATCATTACTGTTACGTTAAAAATAGAAACTTTTACTACATTTTTACTACAATTAAATCACTTGTGAACCTTACAGAATATGTACAATATAATTGATTTTTTTTACATTTGTTTTGATGATTATGAAATTAGAAAAACTTTGTCTACGAATTATACTTTTGACTACAGTTCTTAAAATATCTGTAATATATCATCTAAATATTTGTTTTACCGCAATTCAAATGTGTAGCATAAATACATGCGTTATTCTGAGCTGCAGAAATATTTGTGAAGTGTATAAAAATATATATTTGAAATTAACTAAAAATACAAATAGAATTCATAGCTTGTAGCATTATTCAAAATTGTTATACTAAAGGCATTTGTAAATATTGAATGCTATTAACATAAGAGTTTAATTGAAATGCATAATATTTTTATTCATATATATTTGCTATTGATATTTTTTTCATTCAATATTTGCTAATTATTTTATTTATACTTATTTTTTTTTTGTAAGGGTTTTTGATACGCCATGTTTATTGAGTCGTTCGTATAGGGAATTGAAACGTAATGGAAAATGAGATTACTGAATTTGAATTGCAAATAGAAAAAGCAAATGCTAGAATTTCGAGATCGGGAATTCGATTATTGGCTTTCATAATGAGTGATCCCTTTTTGTATATTTTTTTTATTTATTAAAAAAAATATAGTTATTGGTTTAATAATATTCAATTGGATCTGTTTGAGAGATGATAATGGATGTTGTACGGTAGTTTGTATGGAAGTCTTGTAGCGGTGACAAATATAATCGACGCGTGTTCAGGCAGCAGGAGAGGCGGTGCAATCAATAGCGGCTAGTTTAATGCGCTGTCTCGTACTGAAATAACATTTCCAGAGTGCCGCCGTCCACGCCATCCGCACCATCAACGCCATCCTCGCTGTTCACGGACTACATTTCTCTCGCAACCAGCGACGAGCAATTCGGAGCTGTATTGCGGGTCATGCGCCTGGAATGAATGTAACGCGGTATACGCGTGCTTGCTTCTCTCAAGCTTTGCACTCTTTGTTGTGATCTCATTCCTCCTAAGCACATGCCGCCGATGCCAATTTTTCCGCTGTTCAAATCTTGTACTATGTAGTCTCCTTTACAATTAGCCTAGCAGCAGTCCAGTCGCGATAGGTTTGCCGGCATGCCTCCAGCGACCGCCCTCGCGCCATTTATATAATAACACGCGCACGTGTGTATTTTTAGATCGGTGTTTATTGATGTATTCGAGGGCGGGAGGGAGTTAGTATGGGAAAGGGAGAGAGGAGAGAGGTCCCAGGGGGAAAGGAAACTGAGCTGAGCGAACTGTGTACTGGTGCTGATGCCGCTACCGGCGTATCGGTTCACAATGCGTATTTTTATTTGATGGTTTCAACTGTGGAAACGGCGCTCTGATTATTGATTTGCCCCGAGACTGCATAGCTGATGTATTATGACGAGGAGAGACGTACAAATCCGGCTCGTCTGCATTTACCCATATGAAACTGACGCGTTCCGCAGAAGCCCGACCGACCACTATCGATTTTGATGATTAATTTGTTTCAATTTCCCGCCTTCTGGATTTCTTTTTATTCTTTGCATTCCTATGACTCGTTCTCACCCATGCAATTTCTATCGTGATTAATGTTTTCATTTCCTTTCTCTCTTCCATTCCTCTCTCCCCCGCACTCAGGCAGTTCAATGCCCCAATTCCATTTCTTTTAAGAAAACCGACTTTCGAATCGGCTCATTTGCTAAAATCTATGTACTATCGCGTTACATATTGATAACGATTTATCTCGAATGCACCATTAACTATTAAACGTGTGAAATAGGGAATGTATTATTTTGGCATGTGTTCAACGTATATTTTCAGCCATTAACTGAAACATTAATAACTCGAAATATCTTTTTAGTCATTTATTCATGCTGCTTAAATTCTTGCCCTATCACCAACATCTTAGTATCCTTTAATAAAGGAAACTCGACATATTCATTTATTTAGACTTATTAGGACCACCCACTAAGCTGTATGCCTCGTTGTCACGCATCCAATTCTTGACCTATACTAAGTATAGCGCTAAAAATAAGCACGTTGTCCTGTGAGCGATGAGCGTTAACCGTTTCGCGATTTGCAGATTCCGTGAGGGAATATAACCACCTGTCCTCGGATTTATACAAAGGCTCCGATTACGACCGCCTGGCATTGTCTTTGTTGTCGCCACTTCCTAACGAACAAGACTTCGCCATCAATGTATGCACATTGCTCTCTAACGATGGTAAACACACGTTAAAATTGGAAAAGTACCCCAGGTTACTGGATTATCTATTAGCACACGCAGGCGTGTTCCACCATAGTAAGTTCTTAGTATATTAACTTATTAAATAAAAGTATCCTTGTTAACATTACTTCCCATTTTTTTTATAGGCTCTCTAAGGAAGTTGGTCGTCGAAAGTTATGGCAACATTCGAAAACAGAGCATTGCTGCATTTTGGAGAGACACGTTAGAGTCTGAGGAGTTTCTGGATCTCACCAACGAGAATTTGTTTCTGAAACGAAGTGATAAAATTTCAGATGTTGTTCCTATTTTGGATTTGACAGCTATTCCTACAACTAGCGCAGTTCTAACGAAACCAGATGAGACGGAGACCAGTGAATCGGATAGTGACATAGAATTGTTCGCGAGTGACGATTGCGTTCTTAATGATATTCCCAGAGGGAGGGGGTTCAAATTAAAATTGGAGCCAGTCGACAGGGAACTGTTCAATCTGGGCCGGAATCTCGGGACTAGAGATTATATGGGACAAAGAGTGCTCCAGGTGGCCACGATTTTGAGGAATCTAAGTTTCTTCGATGAGAACACTAATGTACTAGTGCATAATGGAACATTTGTGCGGTTTGCATTGCTATGTGCGAGTTCGCGATGGAATCAGTTGATGAATTTGGGCATGGAGATGTTGGGTAATATGGCCAATGATTTTTTAGTCAAAGACTTGTTGAATGACAAGATCGCTTCAACTCTATTGAAAATAGTGACGAAGGGATTGCAGACTGAAGATAGGAATTGGTGCATAACGGCCTTGGAAGTATTAAACAAACTCAGTCAGAATGAGGCAAACGAGGATGCTTTGTTACGACATTTGGAAGCGAGTGTTTATCAAAGAGTGTGTTCGTTTCTGACCATACACGATGTTATGCTATTGATTTACACGTTGGAGTGTTTGTATTCGTTATCCTCGTTAGGTGAGCGCGCATGTAACTATATAGTGAATACATATGGTGTGCTTGATACTTTGGTATCACTTGTTACTGTGGAGGGGAAAAGCTACGGACCAAAGGCCTGCATCGGGATGAAACTTGTTGAAACCGTTACAGGAGGCACGACAGTTCCTCAACCAACCACCACTACAATTGTTAACACAGCGACCAGTACTTCTACTGTTACTGTTTCCGCAACAATTGCGACTCCTTCCGCTCCCACAGCTACTCCAGTCCATACCATCACTCATCCCTCACCTGCTAAAGTCTCTGTACCAACAACGCCTCAACGACAAGTTCAAATTGCGCCCCAGAGATTGATTGCCATCTCACCTGCAACGACGTCAAATGGTAAGTTGCTTCAGTCATTTATTAATTGTTACTTTTGTCGTCTTTTGATACATTATTGAATTTGTTATATTATTAGAAATTATCTAAATACTGCAATTATTGGAGATGCTCTTCATATTTTGAAATTATCGTGATGTCTTAATAATGTGTATTTAAAATTTGGATTTCTTTTTTACTATTATTGTGAAAATATTTACAATTTTGTTAATCATTCAAACATATTTTGTTTGTTTTCATAATGAGCTTAGATCAGTTCGTACATATATGACATTTAAAGTTTAACATCTATTTTAATTGTTATTCATTATATTCTAGCATCAACGACATCGACACAATTAACGCAGGTCGCTTCACAACAGCTACATCAGAAGCATGCGCATCAACAGGCGATCCAGGAAAATGAACAATTTGCACTTGCCTGGCTTCGCGCCACATACGAACCTTGTTCAAGCGGAAAGGTTGATCATCAAGAGCTCTACAAGCATTATATTAATTCTTGTGCAAAAATAGGACGACGCGGCGTTATCGCTCCTTTACATTTTCCGCGTTGTGTTAGGTATGTTTTCTGGTGACAATATGCATGCATGATATATAATTTATGAAAATATTTAAATTTTACAGATCCGTATTTGGTGGAACCGTGGGACCTAACCCAGAAAAGCCAGCGAATCCAACGGACCCTCAGTTCTATGACGGTATAAAGGTGCGAGCTCAGCCACTGGTTATAAATGTACAGTTCAGTGCGACCACTGCAACCGCTCCAGTAAATCCCGTGACACCATTAAAGGCGGTAAGGCGTAAGCCTCAAACCGCCACAATACACCACCAACCACCTATAGCCCCTAGCCTAGCTCCGGTCATACCGGAAGCTGTTGTTGAAACTCCTCCTTCTTCTCCCGCTTCCCCAATCCTAAAAGCGCAGCTCAGCGCACCTCCAAAACCTCCCCGTGAGGCGGCAACAGCCTCAAATAAAGCAGATGCCTTGAAAAGTCAGGTAAATGTTGTGTTACTAGAATTCTTTATTCTCTACTATCTTCGCATTTTTTTTATTTTCATCTGTTTCCTTCTACCGATTCCTCACGCACATACTCTCATCTTTATTTGTTGCACTTCTCTGTCTCTGTTGTATAATCCCTAAGCTTTCAATTTATTTCTCATGGTTAAAATATATTTATAGTGGCATTGGTCTTAATTTAGGGCATGTATACGGAATATCTGTAGAATTGTTTCTTTCGAATACATTATCTACCTACCCGACATTGGTTATTTTAGTTTGTTAGATGTTTGCATTGTTGTTATAAAGGTGATGGCCCATCCTCATCTAAGCCAGGCATTGTTAGGAAGCGGTTGTGCCAATACTACGACAAACGCTTCAAAGGACCAAGGTCAGAGTAATACCTCGCTCATCAAGAGTTTATTGGCGACAAAGGTAAACGAAAGCATGAACCCAGTCAGCATGAGGACAGACTGCCAGTCCGTAGCTCAGGTAACATACTAACATAACTAGGAACTAATTAAATTAAACATAATAATAATCAGTAGGATCATTTTATTCCATAAAAAGAAGCAAGAAAATATAAAATAAATAGATGTGTTTTGCATGATTGTTGTTACTTGTAAAAAGTAAATGTTGTGTGTGCAATTATGCCAGACATTGACCTGACTTTTCTAACTGAACAAGCAAAGCGATAACAACATATTTTATTTTGGTTAATTATCTAATTGCATTACAATTTATCCATTATCTATATACATATATAAAGTTGATTGTTGAGATTGTACGTGATGTTCGTGATATTCATATTATGTATGTTGTATTTAGGTTGTAGCACGTCAACAGCAGCAACGATTGTTAGCGCAGCAAACATCGCAACAACAAACCCCAGAAACCACAAAAACTATTGTGAAAAGTGAATCGAGTACTACAAAGAATATTCGTTTGAACGGAGCTCGTCAGCTCTTTACAGAAATTGATGTGGCAGATCCAGCTGTGTCGTCAACTACGCAGGGTCTTAGTACGACGAAAGGTAGGCGGGAACCGCCTCAGCCGCCGCCTCCATTAGCTCCGCTCAGTAATAATAAATCAAAGAATAGCATGAAAATAGACAACGAAGACAGTGATTCTATCGGCAACAATTCACTCGCTTCTAGTACGGGTATAGGTAACGTGGGAATTGGTGGCGTTTCATCGACAGAAGACGGTGATAATTCATTGACAAGTTTCGAAGGCCTTTTGAATGGTATAGATAATCCTATAACGATAAATGAGGACAGTAACTCTAAAGATTCTATGAAAAATAATGCAAAGAAACCATTGATGTTGGCTGACTTGCTGGAGAAGAAAGTTGACAAGGATCCACCTCTCGTTAATGGTGTGCTTGGAAAAGAGTTGCGAATAGGGGATAAAGGATTAGAATTGGTAGAAAATCATATCGATAAAGTATTGTGTAAAGATGCTAATGAGAACAACAAAGTTAACGAAATGAAAGTGGAAGATAAATCACTTAAAAGACCAGCAACAGACGATCTTGCAGATACTGAAACTAAGAAACCCCATTTGACAAATAACCTTAATGGAACCTCATCGGCTGATTCACCGGCACCGGATTCTGTATCCAGTTCGAATGGAGAAGAAGGAACTGTGACCGCGTCTACAGCCGCTGCTAAATTGTTTGCAGATTTAGCGGCAGATATTTTGGAAGACGAGCAGGATGAAATTATGCAAGAGCCTCCAACACAACCACAACCAACTATAATTCAATCTACACCCACAGTTCAACCAACCGCACCTGTTCAACAAGTAAATATATTAAATTTTATAATGTAGTTAATATTAAAAATCAACTTTTTCCTTTAGGTATTTGTTGATAATAACCAGCAAGTATTAATGGCACAGCCGCGCCAAATTATTGTTTCACAATCGGGCAGTCCAATGGTTTTACCCGCCGGAGCTCAACTTAAAACTCAAGCGGGACAAACTGTAATTGTCCAAAATTCTGCACAACAACGAGCAACTTCTGTAGTACAATCGAATATGGGACAGATCTTATTGTCTCAAAGCCTCCAAGGAAGTATGCAGTTGGTGGCAAGCGGACAACCAGGACAGTATGTTCTTCAAACTGGTGGTGGCTCAGGATACGTTGTAGCTCAACATCAAGCAGCTATGATGCATGGACAACCTGTTCTACTTGCACAGACGCCACAACAACAGGGCACCGGAACTAAAACAATTATTATTTTACAACAAAACACAAATGCTGCTACCCACCACCAAAAAGTTGTTATGACTCCTCAAGGCCAGCAAGTTGTTGTGACTCAAGTGCAGAGACCTATATTGCAACAAAGTACAGTAAGCAACTTGCCAACTACTACGACTGTCGTGAAAACCGCAGTATCGAGCGTAGTCACGCAGAGCACTGCTTCAAACGGTGGGCCGTCATTGGTTGAGAAACGTGCCGAGGAAATAAAATTATCTATGAAGAAAGTGGTTCGCGATTTAACAACACCTTTCGTTTGCGAGTGGGGTGATTGTTATCTGTAAGTTGCATGAAATTACTTCTTTTTTTTTTTCATCATTCATTATATTGTTTTGTACTATATAGGGAAAAGAAGTTTAAATCGGCGAATGAAGTATACATGCACGTGTGTGCCACCCATATTCCAGATACCACCGACGAGCTGCTATGCCAATGGGAGCGATGTGATAACATGAAAAGAAAACGTTTCTCATTAATGACACATATCAATGATAAGCATTGTAACACAGAGGTATAGTAATATAGTTTATATACAATTTTAGTGTATGTTTTAATCCATTTATTGTGTGTATCATCAGGCTATGAAGAACGCGTTGGTTAAGAGGAAGCAGAATCAGCATACGGGTAAAACAGAAGTGGCAGCACCTACGACGACCTCCCAGCATCCTGGATATGCTCCTGATGCAGCATTTCATGCAATCAAAAGACATGCTCTCGAATTTGTTAATCCCAAGGAACTGCAGGTATATAACACTTTAGAAAATAACATATGTTTTGTTCTATTAATATAATAAGCTTTACTAAAGCTCGCTTACTAACCGGGGTATACGGATGGTCAACGCTTGGATTATTTCAATATTACGAAGTGGCGGGATATCATATTTTCATTATATTTATTTCCACTTAATTCAGTTTATATTCCAATGTTTTTATTTTAATTTTCCTATTTCTAATGTCTGTTGTACAGAGGACCGCGGTTAAGCAAGGGAATGCAAATGTCCCTGCCACTGTGCCCAGAACAGGGCCCCCTCCCTCTGATCAGGTGAGGTGTTGGTTTATATAATTTGTGATCTTACGTGTGCTAGCGTATTCATGTTTCTATTTTGCCACAATGAAGATACTTCACAGAATTATGCTGAAACCGATTAGTTCATAATGAGATTTGAATCGAATATTGCGATAGTTATGCACTGTAGATAACAATTGAAAACGTATAATTGGCATGCTAGTTGTAAACGTAGATTTTTAGTATAGTGGGGAAACCTTTTGTTATTGTAAAACTTGAAAATTAAAGAAATGGCTTTTTTTTCGTTTTGTTACTAAATAATTAGCATGCGTTTGTTTATTAGATACAAAATAATATTTTTTAAACAAATTTTCGTTTTAATATTTATTTAGTAGTTTTGTGTTTTAATTATGTTAAGGCATTAATTAATGCGAAAATTTTTGTATGTAACTTTATTACACAAACAAATTTATAGTATTGGACAAACATTAATATTTTTCGTTATTTTTGTTTTAGGATGATAATGAAGGTCCAGTAACGAAGAGTATAAGATTGACAGCATCTCTAATATTAAGGAATCTCGTGATTTATAGCAGTAATTGCAGAAGGTAATTGTTTAGTTTATCCTAAATGTGATTGATCTTATTTCTTATGAATGTGGTGTAATTGTATAATTGTTTTATAGGTACTTAAAACATTATGAGCCGCATTTAGCGAATGTTGCACTAAGTAATGTAGAGTCATCGAGAACAATAGCACAAGTGTTATATGACATGAACGAGGGTTCGAGCCATAGGTGACCAAAACGTAAACGAGTGATACCATTATTTTCAAAATTGGATGCGCCCTCGCCCCATCAGTCCAACGGACCCAGCCCCACCTCCCAGTGATCGTTCGTTTTTACTATTTGACTGTGTAACATAATTATAATATATATATATAAAAAAAAAAGTGGAAGTGTACAAAAAAGAATAGGATTTAAGGAGCCTAATTGTTATTTTTATATTATTTACTATAGTGTAAAACATGAAGCTTTTAAATTTATGCTGGTTTCAGTTAAACAAAAAAAAAATCAAGTTCTTGTCTTAAATAAATATAATGGATTTTATAAATCGTGCAATTTATTTTGGATAAGTTAATTATCGGTGGATAACAATCAATAATAGTTTGCATTATTCATATAATTATTATCTTGTAAATATTTGTTTCAAAATATAGATATAAAATTCGAAAGGATCGGGATACTGTCCAAGATATTTGTGATAACTTTGCACATGGTATGTCTAACAGTATTATGTGTTATATAGATCAATATTAGTGACGAAATTTAAACTATTAAACAAAATATAAATGGATGAATCTCTAAAAGACACCTGCAGAAACTCTTTGACTTGTCAATGAAAATCGGAGTAAATGAGAAAACAGTTTTTAAAACGATACAAATGCGAAATAGGTTTCCTTGACCTCTCTTTCTCTATATAACAAACAAATCGATGTTCTTTTATTTTATATTTTTGTTATATTTCTCTGATTAATTATATAAAATATGAATAAGTGTTTATGTTCTTCAATCAATATTATTTGCATTTACTGTATTCATCACTTATACTTCTTATATTTTAGAAGCAGGACGAAAATATTCAAAAAGTATATCCTTATGTTAAATTGAACTAAATTGGCCAAAATCCATCCGATTCAAAATTCATACTATATTTTATAAAGAGATAACTAAAAAAAAAATCTTAATGTATATTAATTATTTTTATAAATATATATATATAAAAAGAAATTGGTGTCGAATGACTTTATTTACATGTATATGGGTTACATGTTGCAGACATTGACAAATTGTACATAGATTAAACTAAATAAATCTTCGTTTCTTTTTTTTTTTAATTTGTATAACGTTTTTTTAGAATGTAAGGGTCAGTCTTGATGAAAATATTAGATGTTTTCGAATGCAACAAGTAACTCATACTAATTCAGTTCTTTTAAGTTTGTTACTGTATAAAGAAATGGTCAGAATGTATTTAATATTTAATTGTAAGATTCCTACATAATATCAGTTAATTAAAACCAATAATTAGATGTCGTTTGCTCTGTTAATCCTTTCAGAACCATTTTCATGGAATCACCTACTATTATTAAGTAGTAACCAGTACTAATTAATAAAAGATATATGGAAAGAAAAATAGTAAATATTGATTCCAACAAATAATTCCTACAAAATATAGTATTTTATATAAATAAAATTGACGTTTTCTTATAAACCATTTTCTTTTTGTTGAAGAAAAAATAATAATACATATTTGTTATGTACTGTAACATTTAAGTTATTTTTAATTCATCAAACTATTCTATATCATATGATGTAAATTGACAAATTAAAGAAATAAAAAGTTATTCCTTTTCAACGTCTGAACATATTCGTAGCAATTCTTGCCAATTTATTTTTTAATATAACTGTTACAAATTGAGTGGATTTATTCATTGCTTTCAATTAAATTGAAAGATAATAAATGTAATAATGGACGGAACGACTGCAGAAATTAATAAAAAAAAATCATTTTATATAATTGGAAATATTTTTAATTAGCATTTTGTATTACATTCGTGAAACAGGTTTTAATCCTAAAATATGGAAACACTTGGCCATAATTAGGGCAGTAGCTTCGGCTAGCAAAATTCTACCAACATTAACTTTAATAATGTCGCCGCTAGAATCCTTTTCAATGCAATAGCAATTATCATAAAACTCTGAGAAATTTGTGCAAACTTCGTAAACATATTCACATAAATGATGTAAATATAGATCGCTTGATATCTTAATCAGTACATCGGGGAATCGCAGTAGCGTCTTTCCTAGTTTCCATTCTTTCTCATGATCCAAAGAAATTGAAGTAGTTTTCGCCAATTCTTTTATCTTTTCAGAAGTGAAGTTAGCGTTGCGAGCAATAGATTTAATTCTAGTGTACGCATACAACAAGTAAACTGCCGTATTTCCTTTATCTTCCAACATTTTGTCGAATGAGAAAACATATGCGCCGATGCGATTTTGCGACAAATCGGCGTATTTTATGCAACCATAGGCTACGGATTCCTGAGCGCTCTTGAGTTCCTCTGGTGTTAACACTTTATCTCTGCCATTTTCCATGAGCTTGTCCAATGAACGTTTTAAACCTTCATCCATTAGATCAATTAATCTGACTGTGTCACCTGATCTGGTCTTGAATTTTTTCTTGTCTTCGCCCAAGACAACGCCAAAACCAACATGATCCACACGCTTGGTATTATCCAAAATTTTCGCTTTTTTCGCACAGTTAAATACCAAATCAAAATGTGTCGCCTGGCCAACGTCGGTAACATAAATTAACCAATCCATTTTTTCTTCATCAATGCGATATTTTATCGCGGCCATATCGGACGTATCGTAAGTAAATCCACCGTCCGATTTTACTATTGTCATTGGAATATTAATACCATCAGCCCACATTATTTTTCGACCGTCGTCCAATTCAAGTAGGTTTTTGCTATCCAGTTCTTTTACAACTTTTTCCATCCTAGACTGATAGAAAGATTCGCCTTTCTCTTCAATTGTTATATCCAAACGGTCATAAACCTTTTGAAATTCTGAAAATATACATTGAAATTTAGCATTAAATTAATAATAAATTAAATCGTCACCTCTGCGGGAAACATCACAGATTAATTGCCAAGCTTTCGAGTAATCAGGATCGAACGCTTGCAATTTAACCACACACGCATAAGCACGTTTCTTAAATTCCTCATCTTCATCGAAACGTTTTTTCGATTCTTTATAGAAAGATTGCAAATCTCCAATTGGTGGCGACTTTGTAATATAATCTGGGAATTTGTCTTGCAAATGTGCAATCAGCATACCAAATTGGGTACCCCAGTCACCTACATGGTTGATCCTCTTAACATCATGACCCAAGTACTCTAAAAGCCTGCATACACTCTCTCCAATAATAGTAGATCTAAGATGAAAAGAATTAAATAAATAAGTTAAACAAATAACGAAATTTGTAGAATATACCGTAAATGTCCAACATGCATTTCCTTGGCAATATTTGGAGATGAAAAATCAACCAAAACTTTTTGTTTTCTATCAATGGGTGGTGGTAGAACACCATGTTCAAAGATATCAGTTAAGATATTAACTCCATAATTTTTGTCCAAAAATACATTTACAAAGCCTGGTCCAGCCACAGTCATGTTAGCAATTAAAGGATGTGCCGGAACACATTCAAGTATTTTAGAACCAATTACTCTTGGAGCAAGTGCCTTTCCCAGTTTCTTGTAAGTATTTGCAATACCCATTGCAGAATTACATTGATAATCACCAAATTGTGGATCTTTGCTTAATGCAATGACGGTTGGTGCATCAACTAAATCAGGAAATGCACTGCTAATTGCAGTTGAAAACAGAGAAGTCAAAATCTCTTGGATGCTTTCCATTTTTGAAGAATCCTTTTTGCCTTTAGACATCTCTTTTACAATAGCCTTCAAACAAAATAAAATGAATTGCAATACACTAAAAATAAAGATCATAAGAACATACACTTTGTAAGATTGCTAGTCTATGATTCAACTTAATATTTTCAGTTGATAGATTTGCAACTTCTGCACATTCATTAGGTCCTGCCGATTTGGTTTTAATTGCATTCCTTAATTCTTCAACTTGTCTAACCAAATTCTTTATTTCTCTTTCCTAAAATACATTTACAATTATATTAAGAAATTTCCTATCTATCATTCAAACATACCTGAAGATCAGTTTCTCTATATAATTCATTTAAATTATCCATATTAACTTAAAAAACAAATAAATAATATTTGAAAAAATATTGCAAATCTAAATTTAAGGCAATATGGTTAGTGCCATCAAAGCCATCAAATGTCATCACCACATGTAGATTTTATAGGGAATTTAGTTTTGTAGTTGGTAGTTTGATATAGGCAACCAATTTAACTTAACTAATTCCAATATAATATATACATGAAAGTCAAAGCAATCCAATTCGCCCTTTTTCAATTTTCTAGCCCTTCTGGAGGCTCCGCAATGGACGTGAAAACGAGTCTTAAATAGATTTAGCAAAAAAATAGATTTTCGTAAATAACTCGAAAAGTAATAAACGTGTTTATGATTTTATTGCATAATCAGATGCACGAAAGCGTTACGCAACTTTTTATGTAACAAAAGTTACGTAATGTTCGTTACGTAATAGATAAACAACGTTTTTTTTCAGTTTTGAATTTCAGTGGTGAATTGAATTTGTCAAATAATGGATATTTTCAGTTTTTCGATAATAACTCAAAAAGTAATAAACTTTTTTATGATTTTATTGCATAATCAGATGCACGCAAGCGTTACGCAACTTTTTATGTAACAAAAGTTACGTAATGTTCGTTACGTAACAGAGAAACGACGTTTTTTTCATTTTTTTTTTCAGTTTTTCGTGAATTTCTCAACAACCCCTTAAGATAATTACATCATCGACCACTCGTATGAAAGCTGATTGTCTCACCTTTCCAACGAGCCTACAAGCATATTTGTACTGCCGCCTAGTCGCCTACTATGAGCTGTAGAAATTGGAAAAATGGTGAATTGAATTTGTCAAATAATGGATGTTTTCAGTTTTTCGATTATAACTCGAAATCTAATAAACTTTTTTATGATTTTATTGCATAATCAGATGCACGCAAGCGTTACGCAACTTTTTATGTAACAATAGTTACGTAATGTTCATTACGTAATAGAGAAACGACGTTTTTTCTGTTTTTTTCAGTTTTTCGTGAATTTCTCAACCACCCCTTAAGATAATTACATCAACGAACACTCATATGAAAGCTGATTGTCTCACCTTTCCAACGACCCTACAAGCATATTTCTACTGCCGGCGAGTCTCCTGCTATGAGCTGTAAAAATTGGAAAAATGGTGAATTGAATTTGTCAAATAATGGATATTTTCAGTTTTTCGATAATAACTCAAAAAGTAATAAACTTTTTTATGATTTTATTGCATAATCAGATGCACGCAAGCGTTACGCAACTTTTTATGTAACAAAAGTTACGTAACGTTCGTTACGTAACAGAGAAACGACGTTTTTTTTTCAGTTTTTCGTAAATTTCTCGACAACCCCTTAAGATAATTACATCAACGAACACTCGTATGAAAGCTGATTGTCTCACCTTTCCAACGACCCTACAAGCATATTTTTACTGCCGGCGAGTCTCCTGCTATGAGTTGTAAAAATTGGAAAAATGGTGAATAGAATTTGTCAAATAATGGATGTTTTCAGTTTTTCGATAATAACTCGAAAACTAATAAACTTTTTTATGATTTTATTGCATAATCAGATGAACGCAAGTGTTACGCAACTTTGATGTAACAAAAGTTACGTAATATTTGTTAGGTAATAGAGAAACGACGTTTTTTTCGTTTTTTTTTCAGTTTTTCGTGAATTTCTCAACAACCCCTTAAGATAGTTAAATCATCGACCACTCGTATGAAAGCTGATTGTCTCACCTTTCCA